TGTTATGTCTCTGCAGGTCCTGACCACATCTGAAAACATCACCAAACGTCTTGCAACAGAAAAAGCCTGCAGCTGGCTCTCTGCCAACATTACAGGTAGCAAGTCACTTTATACTTCAGTCTTACATTTTTATCTCTTTCCTTTCAGTGTAATATTAGACAGGAAACTTGCTTTGTTTGTTTGCTTGCTTGTTATTAGAGGAAACTTGCTTGAGATGTGCATGTTGTCCGTGGTTGATTATTTGTTTTCAAGAATGTAGCTTATAATTTGAAGACGGACTTAGTGAAGTGATCAGTGTGATGAATTGTGTGTGTCAAGCAACTCTACTATAGGGAGGCACCGATCCAACTTCTTTTTCTCCCAATTCTGATACCTCGACTCGGGACATCTGCTGATAGCAAGAAGCAGTCCGATACCACTGCTCTCTTTTCCCCAGATTTGCTTTGGACTCATTATTATCTGAGAGAACACGAGGCCAGGGGTTGCTCTGGCCTGCCGTCACTGATAACAGGAAGGCTGGATTTTATAACAACATTGACCAAAAAAAGATTTTTGCAGGCCTATTAAATAGTGACTTCTGATTTTCTTGTAACTAAAACTATATAAGGTTACATGATATGTAGTGTAACACTGGTATGATCCTTTAAAGAATGAAAATTAGGGAAACTTTCACATCAGGGGCCCAGGCCTGGATCTGAGTATGCTTGACCCCAAACTTGAGGACGGTTCATATCAAGTGTGAAAACTACTGTAAGTGATTTCTATAACCATTCGACCCATCCAAGCATGGCTGTGAAAGGACCTCTCTCTGGTCTAATGAAGAAGTTATATTCTTGCTTGAAATTTGGGCAGACGAAAACATACAATCACAAAATATATTTATGGAATCATTTCTATAATAAATTACAATTGTACTCAGCTGTACGCAGCGAAAGCCACGATCATGTCACAGAACCTAATTTAATTTCTTTCGAAAAAGGAAGGAGCCCGTTCTGTGGTGAAAGGATTGCCCAAGGACATCCATCTAAAATATCATTTCTGTCTTCCAACCATCAGCGCTCATCAGGCGAGAGTGGAAGAGCAGATACGATCGCGTGATGAAGGCTCTGGGTAGCCCAGTGGCTCCGGACTTGGGGGATGTGGAGCGGGCTGTAGTCGAGTTGGTCACCCAGGAGCAGTCGACTACGCCCAAGAGAAAACAAGGAAGTGAGAGAGTGATCTCCTGCTCTCCACACTGCAACCACATTGCTTCACTACCCTCAGACATCCTCATCGAGATGAAGGTATGTTTGCATAAGACAATATTTTGGCATTTCATTAAGCTATTGGGTTAGCTGTTATTATTATTAGTTATGCAAAAATTGGTTAGAATTAATTTTCTCTTTATGAGTTTAAGTGTTATGTCACCAATTAGCTAACCAACGTTACTCCTCACTGAAGTTAAAGTGAAAGATTTCTGTGTAAAGTTCTACTTGAATGTTTTTTTTTAATGTAGGAGTTCTTGAGCATCGCAGTCGGCCCCAGGACTGATGAGGAGCTGCCAACTGGCTCTCAGCTCCAAACACTGCTACAGAGAGTGGGAGACACACTGGCCTGCAGAAAGGTACACGAGACACACAAGTGCAACAGAACAACACTCATGCTCGATTTACTGATTTTTGCCAGTAATGATAACACTTTGTTCCTCTTATTTCCTCACTTAGTTTTTAACTGTGGTGTCAGAGCAGATGCTGCTGAACTCTACTGTCCTACTGGCCTGCAAACTGGGTAAGAATCCAGGCTTTTAATGATAAACCCTTAATTACAGGAAAACACTCTCTGTATGATATGTGTTAAAATGTAAACAGGTTAATTCCCCTAAGTGCTACAGCTTCATAAACACTCTTATTTGTTAATTAAATTGCCCTTCGCTGTGTGATATGGAAGCAAGCTGATGTAGTGTATTGTGTAACAGACCCGAGTGCCTGTTGTGTTTATCCGCTCAGTGTCTGCAGAGCTGCCGGTGCTGTCTCTGTCAGGGTGCTGCGGAGGTGGTGAGGTTACTGTGGGTCCTGGTTCAGGGTCAGAGACTCCTGTCAGATCGGTGCTGGAGCAGCTTGCTGAGCTGTGGGAGAGAGACTGCTGCTCCTCCGCCCCCCTCCACCTGCTCTTCACCCCACTCACTGTCACTGCTGTGCTGAAGGCCAGCGACACGGAGGTATTTTAACTGCTGCTGATATCGAAGTATTAATGATGCTATTACAACTACTTCTACCTTCATACATACATCTTTATAGGGTTTATACATACAGATGTGCAGATGACATTTTGCTAATTTCAAACTGAGAAAAACACTTAAATGATGATGATGATGATATCTTCTGTGTACAGAGAATAACATGAAACTTGAAGGTTTTTACACCGATATTTCACTCTTTAAAATGTCATCTTACATAGATATGGTGACATTATTTGCTGAGTTTAACCTTTTCTGACTGACTCCGTGGTCTCTAATGTGCTATAAAGATTTCCTTTGTCTTTTCAGTGGAACAACTACCTGTTCCTGGTTAGAAAGCTGGTTGACAGAGGAATCTTGGGCGAGGAAGAGGTCATATCTTATTGGAAGAAGCTAACAGGCTTGGCCTTGCCAGCGGTGAGGGTTCACTGCTTTTATCATGATGCATTTTTTAGGAAGTATTTCTTTTACTCGTGCTTTGACCTCTTTGACTCTTCTCCACTCTTCCTCGCTCACTTTGTTCTCTTTTCTGTCTCATTTCAGGAGCTGATAGAGAAATTTCAGCTGCAGTCACAGAGTATTAAACCCACCTTGCCTCTGGCCGACTTACCAAGTCACATGGACATGCTGCAGGTCTCACATCAGACGGTAGAGGGCGCTACGTGACAATGATAATACAAGCAAATGTCCCACAGCATCTTTTGTGTGATCACCACAGTGTTTTAAGTCACATCTGTCAGTGTGTTGTTCAAGAGGGAGACAGTTCTGGGTGACTTCATATTGTTGGCCATTTTTCCATTTGCCTTTTGTGCACCGTGCATCAAAGCTGTTCCACCTGTCAGCCTCTGCTCAGACTCTGCAGGCTTCAGACTTTTGTTCTTCACCTGCCTTTCATGAATTCCTCTGCTCTTTTGCTCGGGTGCTGGTTAGAACCAGAAAGCCCTGCCAGTCAGTCGTAGTAGCTAGGGACCACATCATCTCTTACCTTAGATACATGGAACCTTCCTGTTAGTAAACCTGGATATACGATTGTATCCGAAGGGAAATACTCTTAGATCAAGCACTTCAAACAGTCAAGACCAAAGCAGAGTATTTGCAAAGACAGGAGAAGAGTGCCCAGGATGGGCCTTTTTGTAAGTTTTTTTGGAGCTGCGAATGTAAACTGAGTAACTTCGCTGTCACATAAAGGCGCTGGCTCATTAAAATGTATAACAAATACTGTATATTTCTAATTCTGACTCATTCAACCAGACATGCCATGTTTAATAGACATTGCATCAGACAGAGTTTCTAAACATGGACTGAAAAATGAAATTTTTTGTTAGTTTTTAGACCCACCAGAGAAAATAAATGTCTTTATTTTAGTATAGCACTTTCACACACTGCCTATGACCGCCACTACTAGTGAATTGCATGTTTATTTCATGAATGCAGGACTGCATTCGTGATTATTTTTGTTCATGTTGAATGAGCGCTCTATTCTCTGCTGCTTTTAAATTGAAATATTTTTATGTTGCCACAAAGTTAAAAATATAATAATAAAGATGTATTCTGGTTTAAGTGTTTGTTGTGTGTATTTGCTGTGTGTGTCGTCAGTGGTGGAAGAAGTACTCACATCCTTTTAGTAAAAGTACCAATACAACAATCAGAAAATACTCTGTTATGAGTAAAAATCTTCCTTTAAAAAGTTAAACTGCATATGTATTATCACCCAAAAAAATCAGCATGAAAAAGCAAAGTGCTTGATATATTATTATATGGTATATTAGATTGTTGATAGAGATGCATCATTGTGTAACCAGCATTTTACAGTGGAAGCTAATAACTATACTTGTCAGATAAATGAACTGGAGTGAAAAGAAAATATTTTCCTTTGAAGGTTAATGGACTGAAAATGTGTCCAGAGGCATAAAATGGAAATACTCAAATACAAATACCTCAAAGTTATACTTAAGTACGGAATTTGAGTAAATGTACTTGGTGGCTAGAAAAGTCTTGTCTTGTTGGAATCAATGTGTAAAATGAAGCTTGGGAGCTGATATAACTACAGAGGCCTGTAAAAGAAAAAAAGGAAACAGTGTCAAAATGTGACTTAATCTGTCAAAATTGGGAGATTTTATCTTGTAATTTTGTCTTTCCATGTCATCATTTTGACATGGAAAGTCAAAATTTTGTCTTTATGTCATTATTGACTTTTTATCATAATTTTGCAATTTAGCATGTCAAAACTTGTAAGTCAAATGTTTGACTCAAGTGAAAATGATTAAATGGTTGGTGATTGATGATTAAAAAAATCAAAATTTCATCTGATAATTTTGACTAGGCCTATGGCAAGAATTTGACATAGTGTAAATTGTGACATTTTATCTAGTATTTTTGTCTTTTTATATCATGATTTTGCTTCTATAGTTTATAATTTGGACTTTTAAATCTAATTTTTTCTTCTTAAAATTTGTACCTGTCATGAACATTTTTAATTATGACTAACTAACTTTTCTCATTTAGTTATTTATCTATTAATTAATTAATTAATTACTTAATTTCTACACTTTTTCCCCATACAAATCAGATTATTACCGGTCAACAAAAGTTTCATCTTCAGTTTAGCACTTTAAAGTGGGGGATTTAAATAATAACAGACATGCAAAAGCCAGATTTGAATATGGCTCTGTAGGAGGAGTAACCAGCAGCATCCCTCCTCCCTCTCTGTCCAGCAGGAAGTTTCAGTCTTCGGTTGGGAGTTTTGGAGGAGGCGCGGGTAGAGGATGACTTGAGCAGCGGACAACAGGGCAGTGTCACTCCCGCTTCAAGTTTTATCGGACCGATAAGCACAAAGACTCGACATGCTCACATGGGAAACGTTATTTTACACCAATTCCGAGTTAGCCAACCGCTGAGTTGTTAGTAAAATCTTCGTAAGAAATCATGGCAAACGTTAAAGTTGCCATTCGAGTCCGTCCTCCCAACGCAAGGTAAGTTCTAATGTTGGCTAACTAATTCCCTCTGCTTGTTAACATAACGTTAAACAAACGTCTTAACAAACGTACATAAGCTGAGCTACTTAAATGCAGTTATCTCCATTGCTAACTTCGTGTCTGAACTGTTGTTGCCACCGTTGCTAGCCATGGGAATTTACTAGTTATATACAAAACATTATGCTTCTCATATTACCCTTTGTATTTGCGATATTGTCCGTTTTGCTCTACGATACACAAAACGGTAATGGAGGCTAACCCAGCAAGCTAACTATCTAAAAAAAACTTTGTACAGTGGTTACAGTGGAACAAATGGTGCACATGGTGAATAATGACATCTGTGGCTGTCAGTAGTGTTGTCTGACGAGGCACATGTGTGTGTGTGCGTGTGTGTGTGTGTGTGTGTGGTGCTGAGTAATGTACAAAAAACTGGAGCTAGGTAAAGCTTAAAGTATCTGACTGCAGCCATTTATCTTTACACAACATCCATTAGGCTAATTGGGTCTAATTTTGATGTACACACCTTAGCTGCCTGTCTGTGTGTATGACTGCAGCCAGAGCCTAAAGTTTCTTTAACCCTTTCACATCCACTTTCAGCTTAAGTAGCATTAGTAGCATAAAATTACCTGAACACTATTAATTGTTGAATTCATTTTTCAGGTGTGAATGCCAAACATTTGCTGATCAACTGCTTCTTAAATAAGCTGTTTTTCTTTCTCTTACATGGTAGTTACCTACATTTCTTGGGACTTTGTATGGACAAAACTAGCAATTTGAAAATGTCACCTCTGGAAAATGGTTTGCATAGACAAAATGATGAATCAGCTCATCAGTATAGAAAATGATCAATAGCTCCATCCATAAAAAATCATATCATTCCATTCTGTCTGACAGTATCATATTTCTGTATTGACTTGTCCCAGTTCTTCAAGCCAGATAATGTTGACAATGACTGATACTCAAGACTCCATGTTTTTTATGGCTGCATATGGCTCCATCGAATAGAAATATTCTTGTTCATTACTTTATTAAACTTTCCCTGGACTCAGCCTGACACTATAATTGTATACAAAACATACTGTGTATACAAAACATACTGAATTTTAACTTTAAGCTTAACCTATTCCCTTTATTTATTTATTTAGAGGCATTTATGGAAAAAAACATTCCCCTTATTTTACAGTGCTGTAAAATCCACTGTTGAAGTAGAACAAGGAGGCTGTAAAGTTGCTTTGCTCCACTGGAGAACCCCTTTACATTAACAGTCAAATTGCTACAACATGTTGACTAACAGGTCTTCAGGGTCTGGAGATATAGTGCATATAAGTTCTGTAGTAGTAGTACACTGAATTACATTGAACTCCTGCAGACTGTTTTGCAGGGGTGGTGCACTAAGGGCCACTACAGTACCATAACAAAGCATTATTCAAGCAATGAAGGGCTGGACAATGATTCTTTCAACCAGTCTTCCTGGTTCTTTGCATAACAAAAGGATTTCTTATATACAATGTTCACTGTCATGCAAATCTGTCCTTCCTGATTTCTGGCTCTGACACTCATACTGTCCTCTTTTCTTTTCTATTTTTTTAAGTGAAAGATGTATTTCCTTACTCGTGTATTTGAATAAGGGCATGCTGTGTGACAGAGATAACATTAACACCAGCCTGGTAAGCTACATTCCTCATTTGGTTGGGCACAGAAGTGTGTTGCTCTTTGTTTTAGTTGACCAATAGGATTCCCAGGGCCCCCCTGATAGTGCAGGCATCCCCTCACATGTGCAAGAAACATGTAAGCCCAGTTGTGAAATTGTTTGTCCTAGGTTTGTATCAAAGCACATTTTTTTTAGGTTGACTATTTTCCACCCCTAGCCTCCTGTCCTCCATGCTGGTTAGAGCCTGAGATTGAAGGTTGGTGGTTTTGGGTTGGGTCGCCAGTGCTGGGTCCCACGTGGTGAAGCACAGGGGGAGGTGACGATTACAACAGCCTCCTCGTCTGCCCCTAACCCACCACAGAGATGGAGCGTTTGCACTACGGGCAGCTTTTGCCATTATTATCGCTCCTGGAGATCGAAATTCTACCAGCTCCTTGTTGTGATTGCCTTTAGCTTCGCATGTGTTGCATCAGATGCACTTGGTCCAGCTGTTGAAGCACACACAGCTGAGCTGACCTTGTTTTACTCCCATACACACACTTGCGAGGACACATGCTGGTCCCAGTTGTACACACACACACACACACACACACACAACACTTGCACACTCTCTCGACTTTGTGGAAACAGCCTGGGCTGTCTCATCGGAGGAAGTCTTTGGAGAGTGTGAGGGTCTGTTTTCATTTGAATCTCAAACTGGTCAGTGGCACTCACAACTCTTGAGTAGCGATTTCATGGATCACATGCACACATCCACATGCACACAAAGATTCATTGTTGTAACTGTCATGTGATGGTCTCTGGTGAAGTTGAGCTAGCCTAGATTTATCTGGACACCCTCTCAATTATATCAAGAACAGCAAAAGGGGATTTTAAACCAATTTGAAACAGACTGTAGGGTGATAATGCAGTATTTGAATCCGAAGTGAAACCATTGTTAAATCCCTGTCCGGTTTGCATTTGGATTAGGAAATGCTAATCAATACTGATAGTGTCCCTTAGACCTTCTCTTCTCGGTTGGAAGCACGAGTTAATGTTTTCTTCAATTGACAAAGGTTGACAGTTGCTCTCTTCTTGTCCACAGGGAAGGTGCAGATGGAGGAAGGCTAGCGGTTCAGGTGGAGGATAAGTTTGTGAGGATCCAAAATGTGAAGGTGAGTATTTCTGCATACAAACACCCAAAATACCTTAGATTGAGTCCGTGTTTGGGAGTCTTTTGGTGCGTTGCACTGGGTGAATTGGGAGTAAAGTGTAGAGGGTATCTAGCACAGCAACAGGATGTTTACAGTTTTGGATCAGCCTTTTCCTGCTTGATGTCATAGTTGTTTATCATATGTGTTGAGCTCACACATACACACTGAGACACACACAGGTTGAGAGACCATTCCTGTGTAGTCCGGACACCAGGCGTTATTAGTAACAGTCATACTTGCCAGACAAGAGGAGTTTTCTATGTTTTTATACTTTCTGTTAACTGAAAAGGGTAATTTTTGTTTTGTTTTTTTTTGTTCTATAAAGTAGTATAGATTTCAAGGAGGCTTTGCACATTTGGAAATAATTATTATGTGAGCTATGAAGTCTTGTAAACTGATACTTTCACCAAGTTACCAACCTGCTGTGTCAGATGGCTGGGTAGACTTGTCTGATTGGTGGAGCTCCATTGCCTGCAGACTGCAGTCTGGTGCTGTCTCTACAGTTCCAGTGTGGAACATCTTACACACTGTTTTTCATTAATGTGAATGTTTGCATTGGCTAATATTGAGATGATAGAACTTTGAAGGGTACAGTTTGCAGTAGCCCTGTTGAAGATAATATCAAAAATATCCACGTGATGCAAAACCTACAAAAAGATAAAAGAAATTCAGCTTGAAACTAATTTCAAAACTCACATTTTGCTCCATCCTTGCCACAGATATTTCTTTATTTGGAACTTACAGAATATCTCCTTTTACATTTTACATGCAGATGTATAGAGAGAAGTTGGGTGGGGGGAGGAGAGAATCTGTTGTGATGTGACAGAGACGAACCACATATGGCTTCCCTCTGCCATGGAAAAAGATCAAGACTTTCAAGGCTCTTGCGGGTCTCATGGGAATGATTATTTATGGAAAGTGGGACAGTTTTGGAGGATATGAGACAGAAAAAAGCGTGGATTTTACAGGCCAATAACGTAACGCTTATAAACATCAAGTGATACGAGCTATAAAGACCTACTGAACTAAATTAAAACTTGTTAAACAGGAAAAAGATAAAGGGTTATCTTTTACAAACAGTCAAGTTAATTCTCCCAGACTCTGTTTTTCAGTGGTGGGAGCTCTGTTGGACAGGAGATTTGCCTGTGGCTGGTGTTTCTCCTGGCTGATCCCTCACACTACAAGGCCATTGTTGAATTTCATAAAAGTGCTCAGGGGTTAAACAATCACTCTCTCAAGCGAGGAAATTGCCGTGTACAAATTGATACCCAGGGATTAGTGTTGCTCAATGCGGCAGATCAACTGACAAAGATGTCAGGCTAACGGACTAATTGTTTCAGCTCTAATTTGATGGTATGTATAAAGCATACGTAATTTGATCAAAACACGTGACAGGTGGTGTACAAGGATCAGCATTTTCGATTTTTTACCAGTTATCATTGAAAGTCATATTATTTTAAAAGAAGCAGCTCAACAGAAAAACAAACGAGAAAACGTTGTGTGTTTCATGAAATTAAAATCCACGGCAATATTTAATAGACAGATAGATCATGATGAGAACAACAAAAATGGCAGAGTAAAGCAGAGGGAAACACAAAAAACAAAACAAACGGGACTGCTGCAACAAGTTGCCATGAGAGCAGCACCATCTTGTTTGAATAGATATATGGTCTTGGTAGATGTCCTTTATAGATTAGCCATACATGCCACTTTCTCCACTGACATTTATTTGAGATTTACAACCCTCCACCTCAAAGAAAATCCTGGAATACACTGAGCGTCCCTGAACTGAGATGTTTCTCTAGGTTGAATGCAGTGATTTAGAAGAAATGCTTAGATGCTGCACTGTTTTTCATCGTAGCTGCTGTGCCTGGACAAGTTCAAATCCTGCTGTGCTGTTTTTCCTCAGTTCAGGATTCACTCACAGTAAGCAGAAAGGTGTTTAGTGTTAATGCACCGAGGCGAATAAAGGACTGGAGGAGGAGTGAATGCATTGTTAATGAATGGAAACAGCTTGCTTGCAATTCCACACCCAAGCAGCCCTTTAAAAACAAAAGCTGTAGTACCTGGCTTTTTATTTAAACTTCACTTTTCATGTTATTAAATGCATACACATATTGTCTCCATAAAGCGTGTGTCAGTGTGCAGTGTAGTACTGTATTATCTGTCCATGAAGTACTGTAATACAAACACCTGTTTATTTCTGGTATGATGTCACTCACCTTGCTACTGTGTGGAGATAATCAAATAGATAAGTCAAAAACTAATCCTTTACTCCTCTGTTTTCCTCCCTGAAGCTGGATGGACGAGCAGACGGTGCTGTAGATTCCAGGGAGAAGCTTCTGGAGTTTTGTTTTGACTACTGCTACTGGTCGGTGGACCCTGCAGACCCTCACTATGCCTCGCAGGAGGAGGTAATGACCCAACTCCCTAACTGGCTGTTTATATGAATTACAATGTCCGCTTATTGACCTTACCCTAAGTACAACAGTATTCTAATTAAGGTTTTTTTCTTATGCTTACTCACTGAACTGCTACAGCCATTACAAATTTTCCCATAATTTTCACACATACATGCTATAACATCCCTCCCCAGTGTGTTACAACGTCTGAGTTTAAATCCAGTGAATCAAACCCTCGCAGATATACCGGCCAGTAGATTCAGAAAGGAGAACCAGCACAAAGGACTCTCCTACAGAAACAATCACCATATTTGTTTTTAAATCTTGAATACTAGAATATTGCAGTGTAGTGTAGTACTGTAGTAAGTGAGATTAGTCATCAGTTTGTCTTTTGTAATGGATGAATATATCTATTTTTAGTAATTTGTTAGGATCTGGTTTGACATGTAACCATCTGTGCAGCGCTACCTAATGATTTTTCTTGTTTTCGTGCCATGCTATATGCCCTGTTGTGGGTGGAGACCATGTGCCTGCTGGAAACAAGTTGACACTGGGCAGACACAATCTCTGTACCAAGAAAAGAGCCCAGAGGAAACACTCTCTTTGTAGACAAACCACAACAAGAGGGTTGTGTGTTGTGTTGTATGTTTTTTTACACAGACCGCCACTCAGGGGATATGTTATCAGCTCTGTCTGTTACCCAGAAGTCTCTTTCCCTCAGACATGGCACGGCTACAGTCAGTTCGCTTTTCATGTCGTGGCTGTGATTGGGTAATTAGATATCTTTGTGTTGCTTTGATTGGAGGGTGTTTCTGGAACCTGAGAAGGGCTCCAGATTGAGAGGAAGTGTTGCCTGCTTCCATTACAGGAAATCTCTCCAAAACTTATACGTGTAGAGTTCTTTTTTTAGATTAAATGTCTTGTTATTAATTTGTATTTCCATAGAGTTTTCATTGTTCAGCACAATAGTTACAGTTAGTCCACTTTTCCTTTCCTTTGTCCATGGGGTTCCCTCCTCTGCCACTCCCTCACTGCCTGTCTCTCTTCTTGTCAGAGCCACCTTTGTAAGTATTTAAGAAAGATGGGGCTGTGATGATGGCCTACACACTGCACTGAGCAACAGACAGCACAGCACTTCTTCCTCTCTCTTTTTTTTTTTTTTTCCTCTCCCTGGCTCTGGCGTTGGCTGCCTCTATCCTCAGCAGATTTGTGTCCAGTCACAGCGGCCTGGTTGCCACAAGACATTCCTCTGTTGACCCGGGGTGGGCGGAAGGGCACCAGTGAAGGACAGAGCCGCTAGATTTTAATCTGACCTCTTTTCCTGCATGACAATCCAAAGAATTGTCTCTTTAACAAAGAATATACTAGATGACAACGTCAACCATTTACTGATCACATCACAGCTGAAAATATTTGAATTAAGCATAGGGCAGTTATTTCTATGGTAGATTTGAAGAAACAGTGAGTGACTGAAAAAGTAGAGAAAACTGGAAGCCAGGTTAATGTTATCCACAACCAAAATTCTCCAACAATGTTCTGTTGTGTCTCATTTCACATAGTGGTAGTATATTTAGGTATTTGCTCTTATTAAATATCTAACCACATATATATTTTTACCCATTTTCCATCTTAATAAATTGATGCAGCTTTTGCCAGCACCAGATTGTCTCATGGTTTCTTCTTTGAAAATATATTTTAGTATGCTTTACTCTTTTTCATAACAGGAAGAGGGACTGAATTCATCTTACTCCCTAGTCCCCATGAGACTGAGACAAGGGGAAACTGGATCTTAACTCCTGCCTCTCCAGTCCAGCACTATCCAACCACACCCAGCGCCCCTTAGAGACTGGCCTCCCAGCCCCTGTACCTCCCTCCCAACTCCTGCTCTGCACTGTCTGCTGTCCATGCATCTCTGATAGTTTACACCAGATACATGTGGGGGTTTCTTTCTACTGTGCAGCAGAGAGGGAAGTCAGAAATGTGACTCTTGGGATGCAGACGTGGTTGCATTCTTGTCACTGAGGACTCCCCACAAGAAAAAAAGATTGTTTTACAGGGTGGGAGGCTCAGTTTTTAAATGGCATCTTTGGGGGAAAAAGGTTTCTTGAAGAAGGTTGAGTAGAGTGGAAGGAAAGGGCTCTATCAGGTGAGGAGAGGTAGGATTTTGGAAGAGAACCATAATCCATAATGGAAACCAGCTGTTGAGTTAATGCATAAGTGAACTGGGACCATTTGTCTAAATGCGGCTGCCTTTGTTTTGGGCGTAGATATTGAGCTAATAAATAGCTTTTTCCACTATTTAATAAAATAAACCCCTCAGCTTGTTTATTGCTTCTGACGGTAAGAACCATTGGAGAGGAAAGTGAAAGAAAACCAGAGAATTAGAGCCTGGATAGAGAGATAGCAAATGGCAAGAGAAACTGATTAGAGAATGCGGGAATGCGAATTTTGTGCCTCTGCAGCCCCCAGCTCACGCCTGCCAAGCTCGCATCTGCCTCACTAAGTTTTTCGCAGTTAAATTTCAGTGCAAAGACGTCACTGCTGAGGATTCGGCTCAGAGCACAATGCTGTTTTTATGGCCAAATGGAGTCAGCTTGCTGGGGTTTTTCCCTCTCCTCCTCCTCCTCCTCCTCCTCTTCCTCTGTCTCTCTGTGCCTCTGTCAATGCAGTGCGTGATTTGATTATGTTTGCAGTATTTCTAGGTCTGTGTGTCAGTAGTGCTGCAGACTGGGTGAAGAATAGTTTCTCTGTGTATATGAAGAATCCTCCACACTCACATGAGCATTTACTCCCCCTCAACACAAGGCTGGACCCAGAGCCAAAAGTCCAGTTCAGCCTGGTACGAATTAACTACAAATAGGACGCCATTTAAACCACATGCTGTCAACAAAGAAATATGAGATCTAGACCATGTGGATACAGGAAAAGCACCTGTGATTTATGTATAGTCTTTCGGCTTTAAAACAGTTACAGTAGGGGATGACAGGAGTTATTGCAAGAGAGACTGAATGTGGTTGGATCTTCAGTTTATTGATTTAAGATTTAAGTCAGGGAGAACAGTGACGTGGTCAGGCTTTGCTGCAGTTTACAGTAGTGTGCAGATCAGACCTCGGCTGAGTGATATATGAAAATCGTTCTAAGTCATTTTTTAATGTCCTTTGCATCATTGTGAAATCCATTTCCGCAATAAAAATTTTTTTTTGGGTTGCAACCTACAATTATTTTCATTATTGATTCTAATCTGCCACTTATTTTCTCAAGTAACTTGCAAACAGATTTTAGAAGAAATCGGTAGAAAATTAAGCCTTAGAATCACATGTACAGTATATCCTGGAATCCCTTTTTTAAGGATTTCTCAACATTGGGGCATTTTAATCATTTAAAAAATTGTTTTGTTTCCCTCATAGCTGCTCATTGTGTTCATAAATAAGCCCCATTGTCCATTTTGATGCACATCCACAAGCTGTATGTTTTTTTTTGTATTCTTAAAACGACTAATGTAAAGGATTTTTTGCAGCCTTTGTGGATCTGTTGCCATCGTCTGTAAATGGAAATGGAGTCATATGTCAATAACACAAAATTGAAACACAAAATTAGAGATCACAAATAGAGTCCTAACGGTTAGAAATTCTCTCTTTAATCCAGTTTGTTATCAATATTGCAATATCCATCAGCATCACATGTTTTCCCCATATCATATTTATGGACTAACAGATGGGTGTGGGTTCTCAAATCAAATGATATCAAACAGAATAGTGAAAGAATAGTGGTTAAGTTCAGGTCAAACTGTAGTAACGTTGCACCAGTTTATTTGCTAGTCAAGAAAACCTATACTGTACCACTGTAACCTATGAATATCACACAGGGCTCCCATCAGTCTGAAGGCTGGAGAAGTAATTTCCAGTCTGCAATAAAGAGTGCGACATGCAGCTCTGCTCTACGTGTTCTGCTCTGGCCTCTTTAACGAGGATTGGGGGAGGAGCTGCAAATCCCCAAACCTTCTCCAGATATGGTTTTATTTATTTGTTTTAAGTGTAGCCTTTGCCCCACTGTCAGTTTCAGCAATAGTGTATGCTGAAAAATGAAATGTACTACCAGAGTGCCCCTTGCCTTCAATTTTTTCACTTCCCTGTGCTCTGCTCCTCTTTTTTTTCCCCACTGTCCTTCGTTCCCATGTGTAGGGAGGCCTGAGTAATGAAGAGCAGCCTATCTGTTTGTCTCTCCCTCCTCCCTCTCTTCCAGCCTCTCGGCCCTTCCATGCTAATTTGACCTACAAATTCTGTCCAAGTGTGACAAACTGGAGCGTTGTTGAACTCTGGCCAAACAGCTTCCTCTCTGTCTTCTCGCTGTGTGTGATTCTGTCTGCCTGTCTGTGTCCTCCCTGTGCTCCTTTCTGAGCGTTTTTCCTTCTTTTCACTTCTGACTCTCCAACTTCGATTCCTCGCAGGAAGTCAGGACAGGGATCTCTAGTGGCATTTTTTTTCCCTGTGTCTAAACAAAAGCATTTTGCTCAGGGTCCAGCTGTTGTGTTTGTGTAACCCAGCTGGAAAGCGTGGGGCAGGAACCGAGTGACCCTCGCCTCTGCTGCAGCTGTCCACTCCTGGACAGGGAGAATAAGCAAGGGAAATTATTTTATATGAATTGATGTTTTTTGTTTGACTGACTGGGAGAAAGTGGCATCTCCTTTTGCACTTACTTTTTCACTTGCAGTCTTGTGTCTTTGCGTTGTGCTCAGACACTCCCTCCCAGCAAGAGCAGTTGTGGAGGGAAAATTAATCTTGGTCCTCTTGGTTGCGTCAAACCTGGCAAAAGCAATGAGAAGCTGAAGTCTTTAAATGTGGCAAAGTACTTCACTTTGCTTGGCTGGCCTTTTGCCATCACCCATGACAACATCTTACACACATTTACACACACACACGCACTAAACATAAATACTTCTCCACGGTTTAGTGTACAGCAAGCCACATAAAACCAGACGAGCAACTGGCATTTTACACAGCCTGTGATTACAGGACTTAACTCATTACAGTGGCATTACGTTTTCACTCTTGTCAGCCTGTCTTTATCACGCTGTCTTTTCTCTTTCACGACTGCCATCACTTCTCAACATTTCTCACCCACTTCACTGCGTTCCTCCACTTTTTTTCTGTGTTACAAGGCCACAACCCAGGCGCCCTCTTTGGAAAAAAAGTGTTTCCCATGTTTCAAAACAAATATGGAACACAGTATTTATCATGGTCCAGATCTCTGGCATGAAACCCAGCTGGTTCAGACCTCATTCACGTCCGAGAGGTCTGGTCCTACTTAGATGCACATTAGATGTACCTTTCAACTTTGCTTTTGAGATCTGTTGCCAAAGTAGTTTTTTACAAAATAGTATCTCTCTGTTTGTCACCACTTAGTTTGAAAATGGCTGCCATACATGTCATGTGGTGGTATTAATTTAAAACTGTGTGGAGTCTGACCTGCTTTCTTTTTCCAGCTCCTGGCATTGCTTTACTTGAAATTTGAATTTTGGCGTGAGCCTTGCCATCCATTTCATTTTGAGATAGTGGTTTGCTGTGATTGTGGTGTTTTTAAAGAGTACTGCTGCAAGCCATATATTTTATCATGCATGCATGAGTGGATGCAATAAAAAAAAAAAAAAAACTACAAATTGTAACACTAGCATTTGACCTGCATTTAAAGTGACACCTGTTTTCTCTGAGGGCTGTTTTCCACCAGTTTTTGTCTGTTTTATTATTGGATTGGTTTATATTGGAGAGATGGAGTGAAATATTATCATCATGGATGAACTTTGTAAAAAGTCATCAACTGGCTTTTGAATTGAGAAAGTATATATGCCATACATCCCTGCCAAATCAGGCCTTCCTTTTCTGCACGATTTTTGAGCCTTTGCCACTAACCCTAACCCCAAACCCGTGTCTTATTCTTCCTTCCGTCCTCTCTGTTTTGACTCAATGAATCTGACTTGCATTTCCTGCACAAGAATGAAAACTATATTCTGCTTTTCCTCTTTCATTGTTAGATTGTTTGTACATTTTTTTTCTCAGAGAGGGAAGCAAACTCTGAAGCTTTTGTACTTATTGTGCATGCAGCTTCCTCCCAGTCTCTGAACTGGTCAGAGATACACACACACACACAGGCACACACACAAACACACATGCAACAGCCCGCTGATGACAACAGCCTTCCTGTTAATGGAAGTGTTTAGTCTGTCCCCTGTGACCGACCAGCATGCACGCTTGCTTTGCCTCTTGTCTGGTCACTTTATCTCCAAGTTGTTTTTCTCCTGCTCCATCTCTAGAGTACATTTCCATTCCGGACCTGTCTCTTACCTCACCTGCTTTGTTAACCTAAAAATACCTCCCATTGCTGCAGGCTGCTGCAAACTGTGAAAGTAGGCTGTGACAGAGGGCCATTGTGTCCATTTAGGCAGCCAGAGTATAATGACACAAATTACAATCTTGTGATTTAATTTGATGTGACAGTGATGACAAACAACAGGATTGTTTTGATGTTGCCTGTCTAGACAAACTCAAACACACAGTTTTAATTCGCACAATAGGTTGAAATAAGTTAATGTTTTTCTTTACGCTCCTCTTGGTGTTTTCTTCAGTGATCGCTTAAAGTGTTTTGCAAACTTTTAAGAAGAGCAAACAGCAAAAATGGCAGAAACAGAGAAAACAATAGGAATAGTGTACAGAGGTAAAAAGAGAGAGTCAGGTTCAAAGAAAGAGCGGATAGTTGAAGTGAAGTTCCTGCTCTTTGTGCTAAGCCTGGAGGGACCCTCAGCCCTGTCGTAGCCCCCATAGAGTGAATTTAGGAGGGTCAACTTTAACAAGAGCTGTGTTGATTCTCTCTGTTTGAGGGAGGAGAGTGTGTCTGTGTCTGGTTTAAGATAGTGGGATGAGGACAAGACAGGGGTGGTGCTGCTTTTTGTCTTCATGTTTAAGCCTCCATTCAGCCAAGAAGCAGGGGGCAACAGTTGGTGGTCTGGACTCCAGTGAATTGCACACTTTGTAGTCGTGACACTGTTTATTGAGCAACAGTTACGTAAGGTGCTCTCTTTCTCAACTTATTTCTTGGCATAAAACAAAATTCAAACTAAATAGTTCATTCTGTTTTGGTTTTACAATATTGTTTGTTATTGTGTATTGTAGACTCGCATATACTATATACTATGTGTTGTTGTATACAGCTTAAATGTTTGTCACAAATTATACTTTCCAGGTTCTTGAAACATGTGAACAACACATTCGTTAAAAAGGGTTAAAATTCCTATGCATAGGAATAATGATGTGTGAGATGTTTCTTACACAGTGCCTGTTGGGTGATTTATAAGGTCATTGAGTAAGACAGCCGTTGTAGCACCACTTTTACTAGTTGCACGTGGCTGCTGTCTGCACATGGTTGGCTAGGCTACAAAGAAATACTTTAAAATGAAAAATGGTGTCGGTCTGATTTAGGGTTGCAGCCTCTAGTTATTTTCTTTAATGATGAATCTGTATAGTTATTTTTTGAAAAACAGTTTAGTCTGTAAACTGTCAAAAAGCGGAGGATGTTCAGTTTCTAATGATATTAAACCGAACAGCAGCAAATCCTCACATTCGAGAAGCTGGAAGCAGAGAATGTTTGACATTTTTGCTTGGTAAATGACTTAATGGATGAATCTATTATCAAAAATGTTGTTGATTTGCTGCTGATTGACCCAAAAACTGACATAAACTGGTGTTTTCCTGCAGTTTCTGTGGCTTTTGAAAGCAAAGCAACAGAAAGTAATTATGTGACTTAAGGCGCTGATTAACAGTCGTAGCAGGTAACGAGTATTCTGTATTGTATGTTGAAAGTCTCTGTCCTAACATTGGGTGTTAGTTCACTGACTGGTTATACTTTACCACTTGGTCACGGTGGTTTAAATAAGACGTTGGTCTCTGTGTGAGCTTCACTCCACCGTGTCGGTGTTGAACATTTTACTTCTCTCAGAGAAAACTCAAGGCTGTTGAATGTTAACACACACAGATTTGCACAGTCTTAAGAACAACCAGATGACCAGCGAATCCATTCAGGCTGCTTTCACAAGGCCCGGGCCTTTCACAAGAGCTTTCAACCACATCCAACCTAAACCTATTCCCCCATTTTATAAGCCTAGAGTATACACAGGCTTAACTCCAGGTTCTCGCTTCTCCTGACAGTGGTTGGTAGTCGCACACTCTCACACACATGGGAGGTGTGTTGAAAGTATCTCTACTTCACCTCTGAGAGCATTTCTCCTTTCTCCTCTGTGTACTTACCCACCAGTCTATGTGGTCCAGGCTTGAGCCCAGGGGCCAAGGGAGGGGACCCCCTCACTGATCCCAGGGTGTGTTATGGTTCTGGAGGGGAATGTGCTGTGTCTCAGGTCTGGTCTAGATCAGGTTGCTGCCCCCCAAGGCACATGTTGCCTTTGGACTGAGCTGTTGGGTTGCTGACGAGGCCACATGTCCCAAGGAGCTGGTTTTGTTGTAGTTTCTTTTTGCTTATCGGTAATGAACAAAGGAACGATAACAATAGAAAAGACTGAACATTTTTTTATTAATTTGCTTTACCTCTAACCAGTAACACCTGCACACACACTAAAGTAGGTACAGCTGACTATTATGATACATGATATTAAGTGGTAAACACCCATATTACTCAACATGCAGAATGTGTCATGTGCAGCAAAATCAGTTATCATCATACAATGTGTTTGACTTTGATACTAATCAAAAACAAATATCAGCAAATTCTACGCCCCTGTGATGCCATGGAAAAACATCCAACCAGCGCGTTCTCTCACTTGACTTGAACAGTTTTTCTGCAACATTAACACAAGGCTTTTATTTTAAGGTGCTGGTTCGCTGTTTGTCAACTCTAAAACTCACCAGTTAGAGTGGACTCTAGCTGGTTTCTAGGTGTTGTACACTGTTTGACGCTGGTGCCACTGGTGGAGCTGAAACGACCAATTGATTGAAAGTAATTGGTACAATAATTGGTGATTTATGGAGAGTTTTTCATCTCACTAAGTGTTTCAGTGCACACATGCAACACATGAATAACATTTCAATTTCCAAAAAGATAAGAAAAAAAGGAGGTTGTGATTTGGCCTCGTGCTAATAATGTTCAGATTCTGGATCTCAGATTCAGACACAGAGAGAAAGAAAACAAGAGGCCTCAGTTGATTGTTTTGAGTGGGATTCTCCTGCATCCCCCGTATCACCACTGCACTTTCAGGCAAGGTTTATTTTCCTGACAAAGTCACTTCTCAAACTCTTTTTACCTTCACAGTTGCTTCTCTCACATACACATTCTGCAAAATTGTTTACCTAGAGTATTAGCTGACCTCCCTGCTCCTTACTCAAACATCTCAGCAGGAAAAACATTAGTTCCCTGCCATTGGCCTGGTGCCACAGCATTGTGATCGTGAAACCTTGGTGTAAGAATAAACAATGTTAAAACACAATGCGATTAAGATCAAGGACATTGACTTACACTGTGAACACCTCATCAATTTTCAAGTGCATTTACTTTTTTAGTAATCCAATCTTTCAGAGGTGTTTTCAGAGTCTTCTTTCTTACTCTTTATTTAAAATATGTTTAAAGTGATTCCATCACATATCAGCCCTTTGCTTAATCATATAAACATTTTGGAAAAACAAGGAGGGAAATCAAGTCATCATATAAAGTCATCTCTTAGTTCGTCTTTCTTTGTATATTTGTGGTTGAGGGTGTGTTTGTGTGTTACTCTCCTCAGGTGTTCCAGGACCTGGGTGTGTTGGTTCTCTCCGGAGCTTCTGAGGGCTACAATGTATGTCTGTTTGCTTACGGCCAAACGGGATCTGGGAAGACTTACACCATGATGGGGACACCGGTGAGGCGCAGGGGTGGAGTGTGCACCAGCATCACTGCATGGCATGAAGTGTTATTTGATTGGATTTAACTGAACTTTTGGAGCCTCAACTGATATCACCCAGCACAAACAAGTCAGCGCACTTAAGTGCAAATTCAAACCATGCTACACTGCAAATAAGAAAAGCATTGTGTTGTGACTCAGTTGTACATGTCAACTGTCAAATGAGTGCTACTTTACGCTCATTCTGTGTTTTGTTTTTGTTTTGTATGCTCTCAGGACTCCTTTGGCTTGACCCCTCGCATCTGTCAGGTAAAATAGTTGATAATAATCCCTGCAAGTGGCAACATAAATGAAGTGAGCACTCTCATAATTCAGCTTCTTAAGTATCTGGTGTTGTAGTAATGATGTAATTATATTTATTCTTTTCTTGCAGGGTCTCTTTAGGTCTGAAGACACTTTTCCTGATGGGCAAAATTCAAGCAGAGTCGAGATCAGGTACGTTGTTCCTGTGAGACTCTGTTAATATCTTTTCCATTTTAATCAGTGCAGTTGGGCCTTTTCATGACGCTGGAATTCAAATTAGATGAGTACTTACGGAACGATTATGCTGCAGAGCTACAGGCAATAAAATGCAGTTCAAAACTTGATTTTCTTGTCATTGGTGGAGGAGTCCCCCAACAATTTAAACCAACTTCCTCAACTTACTGAAAATAATATAAATTCGACTGAACAGAAGTTATACTTTGCCAATTTTATGTGTTTTTTTTTGTATTTTCAACAATATAACCCAGTGAAATTTGTGGGATCCTTTGGGTGGACCAGCAGTAAAAAACACAGACCACTACAACTACCTACTTCAAATACAGCCAGGGTCCCTTGTCACATGTTACACCAATAGAAGACTTAAACAAAGACTGATATCTTGCGAGATGTTGTGGAAAATAACGATGCAGAAAAGGAATCAGATAAATTCAGCATCTGAGTGTGACAGCATAGGTAAAATAGGCATTAACTGATCCAGTCCTGAGATTATATGAGGGCTATGTCTTCATAGTAGGATGTCGTCCTATCCCTCTGTCCTTGCAGCTTCCTGGAAATCTATAATGAGCGTGTCAGAGACTTGCTGAGAGGAGGAGAACAGAAGAAGAGAGCCTCGCTGAGAGTTAGAGAGCACCCTGAGAAAGGACCCTATGTACAAGGTGAGTGTTCAGGGCAGCTGCAGCTATACTTTGTAAATTGGTAGATTTCATATTTGAAAGGCACCCTTACTAATGCTGATTCTCAACCCTTGCACCTAAATCAAGTAATACTTTTTTAACGTTGTTTATTTCTTTGCACATTAAAAAGATAGCAATTTAAAAGATGTAGTAGATAAAGATATGATATGCACATGAATGATGCACATAGACATTAAAAGAAAACCTCTGCAGGAGCAGTAGAGCAGCAAGGGCTTTTATAAAGACCTGTCCTAAAAACACAAAGCAAGTCAAACAAATTAAATGAATTATAATTCAAATTTCTAATTTTTATAATTATATATAATTCAATTTTCTAACACAGTTCCAGGTATAATTGCACAAAATATTGCCTTCAAAAACCAACTAATCATTTATGCTTTTTGTCTTTTTCTTTGTCTGTTTGATTAAATACTTAACTAGAGGTCTAGAGGCTACAAATTCTCATTAACCTACTAGAGTAATTTCACTGAGATTAAAATAAGATAACAAGTCTATGAGTCTGCATTGGAGAAAACTAATTTTCAATCATCTTGCAACAACCTCATGTCTAAGACATACAGTAGGGTTAGGGTTAGACATATTTAAATTTTATGGCATTATGATTAGGTGCTTTCACAGGCTATGAGTTCTAAGAAGTGTCCATGGACCATTTGTCAAATTTATCCCACCACTTAGCAGTTGATCATATAGTAAAAGAGTCTGTCTGAAACAATTGGTATGTAGAGAGGCAGGATGATGGAGGATACCAAATGTTAAATGTTCTGTCTCTACACTGTCATACACACGCAGACACATAATTTTGTCAAATTATGGACTTGGATGTGTAACATGGTCTGCAGTATTTTGAGCAATGCTCTTGTCTTGTATGTTTAGTTTATAAGTCACTGTGGTATGTGGTCAGCGGTGGAATTTTGTTGCCTTGTTAAGTTTTTGATCGGGTCCAGAATTGGCCGCCCTGGCTCTAATCCAGACTCCTCTTTTAGCCTCTTTTTTTAGTTTTTCTCTTTTCTCTTTCTCCTTCCATCTCCTCATCCACTCCTTTTTTTTCTTTCTCTTTCTCTCTCTCATCCGCCCACCTCTCTGTGTTCAAAGTCCTAACATCCACTTATTGTCTGTATCAGGAGAAATCCCAGATGACCAGAGGAAGTGAAGTCATTTCCATGTGGTTCCAGGGAGAACAAGTCACGATACACACAGAGCACATTTAGGACTCACAGCTTTTACTTCTATCAGCACTGATCCTTTCATTAGCGTTCTACCGTCACTCTTAATGTTTTGTAATAATTCAGATATTTGTGTTACTGGCTAAATGAATGCAAAGAATAATTAACCGGATGTTATAGCACCTACAGACTCTGTCGTAATCTGCACATGTCTAACATCCACTTATGTTGATGTGATTCACGCGTGGAAGCTGAGCATTGTCACTGATTTTTTTTGTAACTAAATGCTGTGGGAAAATATTACAAATCAAACAGGAGCCTAGCAATGATGAGACATATTTCCTGTTTTTGTCTTTTTCACATTTCTATCTCTCTGGTTGTTTAACTCCTCTGCCTCAGTGTCTTTGTGTCAGTCTCACATCAATTTTACATCTACAAAATGTTTATAAAAACTGTTAGATAGTGTATTTTTTATTAATTTTTACTCAATTTACCAGTGTAACATTAATCCCTTTGGCAGCCATAAATAACCTAAACTGTAAAATGTAAATCTATGAGCTTCTTACTCTTCATTTCTTTCAACATGTTTTTTTGACGACCCTATAAAGTCATGTGTTTTTTTCAATTCCCAACAATCTTAAAATGTGCATCTTGATATCCAACAATAGAATGCCCTTAGGTGACACTTACTCTTTCAGGGAGTTTCAATTATTAAATTACCATCTTCAGGTTGATATAAACCTTTTAATGCTCTCGGTTTATTTGCACAGATTTCGTAACATTTTGTTCCTCTGTCTGCTTCTGTCTCATCAGACCTGTCACAGCATGTGGTCACAGACTACAAGCAGGCCATGGACCTTTTGGAGGAAGGCATTGCCAACCGCATCACTGCAGCCACCCACAACCATGATGCCAGCAGCAGATCCCACGCCATCTTCACCATCCAGTACACACAGGTCATCATCTCCCTCAACACCCATAAAGTCACACTTAATCTGTTAATAAATCAGTCTCTTAATGATTCTCTTTCAGATTTTTTGCCAGTAATTGCTCCTTGGGTTCTGACAAGCAGTCAATATTGTTAGCATCTATTTTAATGTGAAGCACTTATCATTATTAGCAGATTCCAGGCTGATTGCTCCTTTCTTTTCCCCACAGGCAATCCTAGAAAATAACCTTCCTTCAGAAACTGTCAGCAAGATTAACCTGGTGGACTTGGCTGGGAGGTGAAACAGTTTTTTCCTTCTGTTGTGTCCTGATTTCTTTTTTATCAACATCTTTTAACCCAAAGTTATTGACAAAACTGCCCCCTAGTGGACCTTAGCTACTGCGCTGAGATTTTCTCCATATCCCATATTTTCTTTTCATCTACATTCAAATGACATGAACCTCATGATGTGTTGGTTTTCTTTTTGACAGTGAGAGAGCAGACCCCCACTACTGCAGGGATAGACTGACGGAGGGCTCCAACATCAACAAATCGCTGGTCACTTTGGGCATCGTTATTTCTGCTCTAGGTAAATGAAGATACTGTTAAAATTTTTATGATTGCAATTTGAAACTGAAGTGATAATGTTTAAGATTGCTGTTTTTATTTGGAGTAAAATCTTTCAAGTCCATTTTACTTTATCGGCGCATCCCACAAACTTTGTACCTCTTTATTCCACTGCCTCCAAAGCCCAGAACTCCCAGATGTCCAGCAGCTGCCAGAGTATCAACAGCATGGCCTCAGAGGGTGATGGCAGCACGGTGGGTAGCCACAGCAGTTCCCTGTCTGGAGGAGGGAGGCGGCACTGCTTTATCCCCTACAGAGACTCAGTCCTAACTTGGCTCCTGAAAGACAGCCTGGGCGGCAACTCCAAGACCATTATGATTGCAAGTAGGTGTCACAGGTGTCAGTATTATTGTTGAAGGGGTATTCCAGAGATTTAAATTAGATTGCATTTCCATAAACCTGGGAAACTTCCCAAAAGACAGATGATACGGTTAGAATCGATACATCAAAGAGCTCAGATCTCCTGACTTCTTAGGGTGAAATTAGATCCCACAATTTCCCATAACGCAACGGATAATATAGTAGTGAGTGATTGTGATGTGTGAAATAGATGTGAATGTCGTTATTAAGAACTATGGCAATGGATTGTGTATTCTTTAAATGCATATTGATTGTAATCAAGTCTCTTCTGTCAAAGAGTTTCCTACAAGCACTTGAATGTATTGACAAGAAAAACTCTTCCACTTTTCAGTCCCTGCTCACAGCTGCCTTGTCACATAAAAATTAAACGTAACTTTCACCAAAAATATACTTGTATTTTGGTTTGCAAAGGGTCCATGTGAATATCTGTTTTATCTGGATCAAAGTTAATTTTTGCTCTGGCATTAACTGAAGCTGATGGCTGCCTGGATGGTGGGGTATTACTCTGAAGAGCAATGGTGATGCTGTGAAAATGGTTCACAGTAATGTGTATATGCCTCCAAAACCAAAATTACGGTGCCACTGTAGTCTCACTTATTAAACTGACATTGTTCTTTCATGTGATGTGAGTGTTAATTGCTGTACATGTATCTTGTCCTGTGTGTTTCTGTGTTGCAGCGGTCTCACCCTCTGCTAACAGCTACAATGAGACCCTCAGCACACTGCGCTATGCTGCCCATGCCAGAAATATTGTAAACAAGCCCCGTGTTAATGAGGTCAGTGTAGAGTCTGATGCCAAAATGTAATGTTTGATCTAAATGTTTCTAGTAGGTTAATGTGTGTGCTTTGATTTCTGTACAGGATGCCAATGTTCGTCTGATCAGGGAGCTGAGAGAGGAGATTGACAGGCTGAAGAGTATGCTGCTCAGCTTTGAAATGGTATGGTGACTTTTTATCATTAGAGCATAGAGCTAACTCTCTCAGGGTTTACCCAATCCGCTCGGTTTACCCAAAAAAAAAGCCCTCTAGTACTGTAAGGCTTTGAATAAAAGAGATCCACGTTACAAGTTTTTTTTCTTTCCAAAGGCTTAATATAGTACTTTGTGTCTTTGTGACATTTTTAATCCCCTGAGTGGCAAAGATTGGAGTGCATTGTATCGTGTGTGTCATTTTCCCTTTCCACTGTTTTTCTTGACTGATCATTTTTATTCCATCTTGACTGACAGCGGCGCAATCCCAGTCCATCCCTGAGTGATGAGAGGGATGGAAATCTTTCTGACATCGTGCTACAGAACGAACTAAAGGTAACCCAGGGTCGACACAGATGGTTACATCTGCCAGATAGTACTACAGTAGTCCTTGGCACATCAAACCAGTGCGCTTTTATATTCAATGGAATGTTTTTCATGAGTTTGACAGATGTTTCACAAAAAAGAAAATCAGGGCACAGTGTAATAAGCTGCATCAACCTTTGATGGGCAGATTTCTCATCATGTATGTTGTGTGGCCATAAGGGGTTAGAATCTCAACTCTAGTCAAACTCTAGTTTAGACTGCGGGTCTTTAGATAAATTATATGATATACAATAAAGGATCAGTCCACCTAAATGACAAAAACATTCTTACTTGCCTCTAGGTGTATCTAGCTGTTCAGACAGGATTTTTCCTTTCCCACTTTTATTTTAGATATCCTGAGACAGATTTCTCCTTATTTATTTATTTTTTACCCGACATAAAAAAATATATATATATAAAAAAAATATATATATTATATATTATTGATATATAAATTCTGTGGATTAAGATGGGACTGGGACGTTGTTTCTTGGAAAGCTAGCTTTTTGGGGTTTTTTTTTTTTTAGGGTTGGTGGTGGTTTAAGAGTTAACTTAAACCAAGAGTTTACTTAAATTAAATTAACATTTATGTATATCTAATGAATCTGAATCTAACAAACCATCATTATTAATAATAGTAGTAGTAATAGTCTTAGTAGCAGTGGTTGTAGCACTGGCAGTTGTAAAAGTAACTGCTATTAGTATCACCATTATCTCCTTGACCACAGAAATCGACCACTCTGGTTTTTATCCACCTCTCTGTTTTTTTCATTCGCCTCTCCCCATGATCTTCCTTCACCATCTTCATCCACGTCTCCTCCTCAGGTGGAGCAGCTGACGAAGGACTGGTCAGAGAGCTGGAGAGACAAGAAAGAGCTGTTGGAGCAGTACAGTGTGGACATCAACAGGGACCAGGCGGGCTTCCTCATCAACTCCCTCCAGCCACACCTGGTTACCCTTGATAGAGATGTTCTCAGCACCGGGGTCGTTTTCTATCACCTCAGGGTATGACGACAGGAATGCAAATAGATGTCTTGTGTTGGTTTCAGTGTAAATTAGTACGCAGTTGGATATGTATATGAATACATGTTGGTTTAGGTATTAGAATTACAAGTAAAAGTGATGGAGTTAATGTTAATAGTGTTTTTATTTGGGATGGTGTACTTTCATATCTGTATTTTCTGAGTTTCTTTTCATCCCTAGAGACTCACATCACTCATTTGCACACATGCTGTTACACTAAAAATACACATTTGTGTGAACAACATGATGCAAACTCCCACACGCTTATATTTTTTTCATTTGCTCTACTTTTCCCAAATCTCATGTTACTGTTTTTGTCAGCTGTCTGAACTGAAACCATCTCTTTTTCTGTCTACTAGATTCTTCCCCCTCCTCCTTCCACTATTTTTCCTCTGTTCTGCTAGAAAAACTCTTGAGAAAAGGTGTGTTTCTACTGCCTTTTTTTTTTTTTTCTCTCTTTCTCTCTACCCTCCAACTGTCCTGTCGATCTCCCATCTCTCTGTGTGAATGTCTTCCGCAATGCATAAAGCTCAGTTGGATAAGAAGCTCTTAGTTCTGAGGCTAGGACGCAGGGGATTTTAAGCTGTCCTGATTCTGACAATGACAAGCATACCCTTAGGCCTGACAATTACACTGTTTCCCGCATGTGAAGAGCCGAGGCCACCTGGGAGCACATGTGGTCCTGACACCATATAAGAAAGCCTTTAATCTCATTAGATAAGACTTCAAAGTAAACAAATGGTATTTTTCCTGTCAGCTAAGTGGAAGATTAGAAGTGAAAGGACAATAGCTCTTCAAAGGACATTGTGTGAAATTCGTGTCATTATATGTTCTATCGCTTTTGTTATGAGCACATCCTGTTAATGACAAGTATGGATGTGGTTTGTTTTGATGTTTTTGTTTATGCGGCTATTTAGCTTACATCATGTTTTTTTTTTATTGCAGGAAGGAGTCACCCACATTGGACCTCAAGACCAGTTTGAAGAGCCACAAATAGGTATTAGTTATTCATTTGCTTTCCATGTTTCCTCATTCAGCTGTAAATATTCCTTTTCAAACTGTATAATGAGATTTTTCTTTTTTGGAAATCCTCAAAGCCTCTTACAACTATGCATTATCACAGAGTAAACATACAACAAACCGACAGCTTTAGACAAAACATGCAGCAAAAAACACAAGACAACAAAAAGAATATCCAGTTCACTGACTATGGCATTACACAGAGGATATATGGTACATTGTAACTGTTAAGTGAGAGTGGATAATAAAACATAATATGTCCTAAAATGGCCTGTTAACTTTTCATTAAATGCTGCATTGAGCACTGAATATATTCAGCAGTACAGCAGCTGCCTGAGTAAAGCTTCCTAAATCAGTATGTGCGATTGTGTTTCTGCTTTCCGTTTCTAGTTCTGCAGGGCAGTTCCAGCTGTGAGATTGAAAACTGTGGAGGTGTGGTAACACTCAGGCCGCTGCCGGGCTACTCCTGCCTGCTCAACGACAGGGAGGTCACTGAGCCCTGCAGACTGGCTCAAGGTCAGTTCATGTCCTCAACAAAACAGTTTGTTGACATTGCATTTTTTTCTTCTAGATGGGGCACAAATGAGATATTTTTTGATGAAATGAACAGCAAAAAGACCAATGTAGTAGTCGCATGTTTTCATTTTTGACCAGAGCTTCTATAGATATGCCGGCATGCAACGTTTATACCACTTTTATTTGACTGACAATAAATACAACTTCTTCTTTTAACATTCCTACACATTATTGCCACTCTCATGCCTGTAGAAGATTATCTTAGGCCCGACACTTGACAGAGTTGATCATTTAAAACTTCAGTTCTGGTTAAATTAATGTTGTTGCGTCTGAATAATACAAGTCCAGAGTTCTGTTTATTGTTTATTGATGAATGAGGGCAGAAAAGTCCTGACTTTCAGAGGGTTGTTTTCTTTTCACGAGTTGTTTGGCAATGATGAAACTCTGATGTCGTCTTTGTAAATCGCTGTAGCTCTACTTGTACTAATACAAGTATGTTTCCTCTGCAAAATACCCAAAACCACCTGTTCTGCTCTTCCAAATTCTGTCATTGTGTGACATATTGTACATACACACAAATTATGTGCGATGTGCGCATACATCGGCTCTTATCCTCTGAATTCATCTAGTAGTGCTTGCAGTCATTTTCTGTGAATCCCTTGTGCATGTGTTTACAATTAGAACCCAGGGTGGGAATGGCGGACTCACAATGCAAACTCCTGTATAGAGAAGTAAATAAGGAGTGTAAATACATTAAATGGCTATAGCAGAATAAATGGCAACCATAAATAGGATAAATTTGATTTGATGAAAATCAAATAATAACTTTAATTGTAAATATGACTGTAAATTCAGCACATACTACAAGCAATTTATGCTTGGAATGTACATAAACAGCCAAACAGAAAATCAGAGTGAACAGCACTTGACACTGAGCATTAAGGCCTGTCAAGTGATTGTGGCTGTGTGCTGGATGTCACATGTAGGTGAATGTACAATGATATTTATGCCCACACACACTTAAAATACACAGAATCATCCTAAGGATAAAAATGTAGACACACACTCACACCCACCCTGCTGCGCTTATACACTGCAACACACACACACACACACACACACACACACACACACACACACACACACACACACATACACCCCCACACACACACCCCTACACCTGTGTCCTGAGCTTACATCAACACAATGCTACAGGATAAGCACAGCTTGTGATGAAGGATATGTCTCTCTGTCTCCAGGGATGGTGATCACCTTGGGAGAAGTTCATAAGTTCCGCTTCAACCATCCGGCAGAGGCAGCTGTCCTCCGGGAACGCAGACGGGTAAGTGCTGCTTATCTGAAAATAAGCATCATGTTGCTGGTTAAGTTGTAAATCAAGATGATATTGATGAGCAGATAATTGAGATACTTCAGGTGGTAAACTATCATGTTGATGATACAAAAAAAAATAACACAGTGGATCTTCTCTTTACTATTCTCAGGCTAGTGAAGGCGGTATGACCTGCACCTACATTGACCTTTGCCCTTTGACCCCTGACCACAGGTAAATACTGCCGCCAAAAAGAAAGTCACAGAACGACACAGCAGTCTTTTTTTAGGAGAATATTCACAACTGTGTGTGTGGTGTACAGAGAGCTTATTCTGCCAAGTCACAGCATACACATTTGATAAGAAGTACAAAGTGTTGTACCATTGAACATGCTGTAGAAATAGGACAGTGCTTCATGCATGTTTCCCTCCAGTTGGTGGAGATGGCATGTGCTTCTATTTGCCCCCACCCTCCTGAGCAATCCCAGTTAGATGTTTACAGGACTTGCTCAGGCGTTGCTTAGTTACTGCTGAGACGCTGAACTGAAAACTAACAACAGTAGCTTTTACTTTAAAGCTACCACTCTCATCACAGAACTACTATATTCTAACATCAAGTTGTGCTTAATTGAGGTAAAATTATACCTTTTTCTTATTGCCTTGTTTCTCCTATTCCATCATAGTTTCTCGGTCTGTGTTTCATCCTGAATCTTTGTGCCTGTTTTACAGTGTTGAAGAAGCGAAGCTCCAGGGGCAGCCGGGTGCCTGTATCTCCCCAAGTGAGGAGTCTACTGCGAGACAGCGGCTGGAGGAACAGCAGCACTACGTGGAGAGTTTGCGACAGGAGATCCAGGCTGCACAAAGACGGGCTGAGAGAGAGCTGGAGAGGGAGCAGGCTCACCTGCGACAGCAGCACATTGAGAGTAAGTACTTTCCACACACCCACATGTAGAAAATTGTTACTGCTGCTCATGTAGATACCCATCAACTTTTAAACCCCCTCCAAGAAATCACTAGTTTTTAAGTGCAATGAAAAACTACATAACGCTCTGTCTTTTCATAAAATAGGTGCAAAATATTTACACCCACTCAACATTCTCTCCTTGAATCTTTACTGAACAGTCCAGCAGTGGATTACGCAAGAGAAACAACGCCTGACAACTGTTGAGCAGAGAGTCACCCAAGAGTCTGGAGTTCAAACAGACGTTATCCCTGCATCCCTCCTGGAGCGGCTGGCAAGTCAGGCGTCTGAGGAACAGGAAGATCTGACAGTGGATCGTCCCTGCCTGGTGGTAAGAGCCAGGAAGAAGGCGGTGGAGGAGGAGCTACTAAAGCATCACGCCCTTTGCCGTACTGAAAGCCGCATCCGTCGGAAAAGGCTGCACTACCAGCTGGAGAGAATCGCCCGCAAGAGGCATCTGTTGGAAGCCAAGAGGCAGTTGCAGCAGCTGGAAAAAGCCCTGCCTCCTGGACTGGACAGCCCCGAGTCTCCTGAGCTGGGGTCCTCCTCAAAGCCTAGAGGACGACCATTCGCTTCTCGTAGACACTCATTTTCATCAGATCTTCTTTCCCGGCTCTACCCACAGCACACTCCTATCTTCAGGTGAGCACATAGAGTAAAATGTAAAACCTGTAGAGTTATGTGGTTGCATGTGCCTCCCTATATGTGAATATTTTCCTAAATTTGGAATCGATTAAGTCTTTCTTTTTCTCTCCTCTACAGACATTTTCTGAAGAGAAACAGATCCATAGAACTGACTTCAAATTCCTCCACGACATCTGATTCTATTGGCAGCAGGAAGTGGGTTTCGGATGAGTGTCTTCCTCGGGAAAGGACTCAAAGTTGTTCCGGGACTATCTTCTCAGGACAAAGTCAATCCTGCCGGAGTAGAATTAGCTCCTCTGAAAACATCAGACAAACTTCCAGAGAGGAACCACAAGCTCCGCCCTCTCGGGAACGGCCTGAAAGAAAACCTCTGCTGCCAAACCGAGATCTGTCTTTTAAAAACAGGTCAGATCAGAACTCATCAGTGAGTCTGAAGTCACCACTTGGAACTACTGTGCAGCCGGTCAGCAAAGAAAATGTACAAGGAGCCACAACAGACAGACCCAGTTCTGAGATTGTCTCTTGTATGACTGTGAGAACACCATCCCATGAGGATAACAGCGGACTAAAAACCATCAGGAAATCTTTCTCTTCTTCTGTGGGACCCAGGTTAAAAACAGTCCTGTCCAAAGTGTTCAGAAAACCACCATCAGGTGCAAATGGAGGACGAGGCCCCAAACCTTTGGGGAGGATAGCAAGCAAATTTCACTGGAAACAAAAAAGAGACAGAAGCCTAAAAGACACCAATATGATCCGAAGCAAATGTGCCATTAAAACAGCCGTCTCATGTGAGGAGCTTGACCAAAAGGCTCTTTTTGAGGACATTAGACAGAGACGGTGGCATAGTACTGAGGCTCTGATGAAAAAGACAAGCAGATGGGTTGAGAGGCAGGAGGGATTGATTGGATGGGAGGAAGAGCAAGAAGAGAGGGATGAAGGGACGTCAGACTGTGAGAGCCTTTTCTCTCTTGATTCCCTGTCCTCTGCTTATGCAACAGCTCTGGCAGAGCAGCTGAGACACGAGGAAGCAGCTCAGAGTGAAACAGAAAGCGAAGACAGTCAGATGTCTAAAGACTCCTTGGCTGTGGGGAGCAACGGGAAATACTCGAGACTAAACCGTACAGTGGTACCAAATTACTCGCTGGTGACAGATTCCTCTCATTTATCCATGGGGCACAATAGGACTGTACAGAGCAGTTTAGACTGGGGCAGCTCTCAGAAACCCCAGGTGATCCCAGCAGAGGCCTACTGGAGCCAGCAAGGTTCCCCAAAATCGAGAAAGAAAATGGAAATAGGTGCAACAAGGAATCCTCTGTCTCAAAGCCCATTAGTAGCAGATTCCAGAGGCAAAGACACTGTGCAGGAATTGACTGAAGACTTTGGGAACATGCAGACCGCTTTGACCAGCAGTCCACGCTCACTGAGCAGCTGCAGTGTGAGGGAGCCAGAGAACCTGCTGGCGCTCACCGATGCCTGGTCCTCCACCGATGCAGCAGACAGTCCCAGGATTCACAGAGATTCCCTACCTTTCCAAAGAAAAATGATGTTCAGACAAGTGGAGAGCAGCAGCAGTAGTTCCAGTCCAACTAGTATGAATCTGTCAGACTCTCAGAGTGGATACAGAAGCTATAGCTCAACATCCACCAGCACTGAGGGTGTAAATGTAACAGTGCAGGAACACAGACTTGTGGTTTCAGGGGAGGCTCTAACAACACCAGAAGATGCCCTCGTATCGTGGGATCAGGAAGGTGTGGAGCAACCAGGGCGACAGTCAGAAAATGTGGAAAATACAATTATAGATTCTCCAGACTACAGCAACAATGCAAGTCCAGCATCCTTACCCACCTCAGATCAGGCCACTTCTGTGTCTCACACTGGGATTCCCGACACTGCACAAGCAACATCAAACTTGCTTCAGGTGTTTCCAGATGCACCTGATGTGGTAGTTCGGGATGTCAGTTTGTCCTCTGACATTGAAATGTGCACCTCAGGTTGTCAATCAGTAATGCATTTCTCTACAAATCCGACTAACCAAGGCCAAGCACTGAATAAAATGTCTGAAGCTATGAGTGCCTTTAAACCGTCCATTGAGGATGAATTACAATGCAATGTAGATGGAGCAGAAAAGCTTAAAGATGTACAGCAGTATGAGTTTGAGAATACCAAAGATGTATCACTTGCAAGAGATAAAACCAAAGACACTGAGCTGTACATTGCACTACAGCAGGAGCTTGTTAAATCACCTGGTAAAAATTCCAGGAAGAGGAACAAAGGCCAACAGGATGCGTTCATGGGCAGCCTGAAAATTCCAAAAAGGAGCGACAGCAGAGAGTTGGTAACTTTCTGCTCGATAGCAGTTGGCAGCCAGGATCATATTTGGCCTGATGACAATAACAACACAAGTGACTCTAAAGCGGAGGAGTCTGCCGTGGAAACTTGCAGCCATGGATTTGATTCTGCTTGTGCAGGTGGCAGCGTTAGAGAGGACAAAGCGGCTTCAGTGGCATCGCCAGTTTCTGATCCCATGATCAGGAAACTTGGACAGGTCTTTGAGGATTCTAACTGTGAGCTTCAAAATGATGACAAAAGCTCCCAGAGTGGTTCCTCTGTGGGAGACAGAAAGATGGTTGAGAAGGAAAATGTAACAATAGAAGAAGTAGATGTAGAAACAAAAGCAGGAGAGTTCCACATTAATAACCCCAGGAAACATCAAGAAAATAGAAATCACATACGCAAGTCTGATGCCATTTGTAGTGCTATTGACCTGAGAATCTCAGAGATGGTGAAAGAGCATGTGAGATTGTCATTGATTGACAGTGATGGTATCTGGACGAGCAGGAGTCAAAGAACAGCATCCTCTGCATTTCATATTGGCTATAAGAGTGACGAGCATACAGTGACAGAAAACCAGCTGAGAGATGAAAGGAAAGATCAGGTGAAAGAAGTGAACCTCAGTGGACATGCCTCAGTGGAAAGGACAAGCGAAGCCACAGTGGACATAGGTGAGCACTTGGCATCAGATACACCAGCTGAATTGAGGACTAGCCATGAGAGCGACATGCTTAAATCTACTGAAGTAACTCAAAAGACCGACCATGCTCTTAACTTTTCTTATGAAACATCAAACAAGCTGATAAATGGTCACTGTGTTGTCCAAAACACCTCTGCGAAATGCAACAACATCCAATCAAATCTGACACTTAACAGCCACGGAGAGACTGAACACTCTGGAAACACTGCTTTGCAACCAGTTAGTTTGTCCTCAATGAGTGATTCCTCTTCAGCAAGAAAATGTATTGATTCTCAAGGAAGCACTGTGGAGAAAGTTGCTTTATCTCAAGAAATGAATGATGTAGGTAAACAAAAAATAACTTTCCATCTTAATTCTGCTTTAAGTGATATGCACTCAAAAATGGACAACCAGACCTGTTCTGATCCCCCTACCCTGGATACAGATAACCCACAGCTTCAGCAAATACACCATGAATCACCTTCTACAGTTGGTGATACAAAGGTTAACTGTGGATGTAGCCATGTAGAGGCTGTCAGTTTGGGAGCTGCATCCAGTGTTAAAGATAAAGGCCATTATTCATACAAACAAAGCTCACCAAAGATGACTGAGCAACATCTCCAGCACAGTCCTGACACATCCGGAGCCACAAAGTTATTATCTGATGGAGGAAGTCTTCAATTCAAACCACTCAACCATAACAGCGACCGGAATACATCCTTTGATGAGAAAGCCTCTATGACAGGGTTTGCTGTTACTCCTGGCCACGACGGAAATGGTGAAACAGAGTTCACAACAGGAGGTAAACTGTCTGTCACAGCACAGAATCAATTTAGCTGTACACAAACCCGTTCAGATAATTTGACTCAGACTTGTGTGGTCAATATGAATTACAACAAGTGCCATAATTTATCAATTTCACAGAGTAAATGTGACAAACAGACTCAGGTTGACAGTAAAGGAAACTGTGTGATGAAAAATGACAAAGAAACATTGACCTGCCAGTCTGAAGCACAGGTTCCAGAGATATTGGCAGAATTAAGATATGAAACCACTATTTCTGGTTCCATACAGCCACTCCACCAAATACCACAGGGACATGGTGTCAGAAATACAAGTTGCTGTGGATCTCTCATGTCCAGAGAGAGTGATGTAAAAACATGTGGTGGTACACAAGGTAATTCTGCTCTTACGGCCAAAAAGGCCAAGTCGAAGAGGTTCAGAAGATCTAAGATCCAGACTCATCCCACCTCTTTCTCTGAGTCCTCTCTTAAGTCATCAGATGAAGATGAGGAGGATGATAAAACCACCAGAGAGCATTACAACCGGCTCTCATCTAAATGGGTAAAGCTTGCCACTCAGAGTAATGCTAAACAGGAAGTTACACAGGCTAGAAGCAACAATGCAGATGTTTCTGTGTCAGTTAACAAAACTAAAATGAAGACGACTTCTGCTGGAACTAAAAGTGAGGTTAAATTTAGTAGAGATTACAGCCAAAAGAGACACTTGATACCCCCTCAAGCAATGTCACAAAAGCCAAATGTGGAAAAAATCCTTCCGCATGCTAAGAATAGAGAACCACAACATACACTGAAGTCTCAGGACTCCCCTATGCATTTTGCCTCAAGTGACATCAACCCATTTGTTCACCAGTGGCAAGACGACGACTCAAACCAGCACTGTTTTAAGAACCCGTCGTTCGGGAGTGCTGCCGACCTATCCTGCAAATCTCCGCTTTTAAACAGCGCTGAAAAAGGTATGACAAGATGCTGCAGTGTTGACAATGGTTTGAATGGGCAGAACTCCCCTTTCAATTCCCATCTCAGCACTTATGCCACCAACAAGGGGCTCTCCAGTACACTTAGCAGTATGGAGGATTATAAGGAACAAGCAAACAAAGCATCTCAGCTCACACCCTGTCAACAGACGTCTGTTGATATTCACAGTCATTTAGCCAATCTGACCGTGAGCGGTAGTTCTTCAAGTAACGACGTTCCTGGTGGTTTAGGTAATAACTCCAGTCATGTGGATGAAATTATGTATGTTTACTCGTCTGAGCAAGAGTCCCAGGCAAGCAAAACACTGGCCCAAAGGAGGAGGACATGTGAACATGGCACTCAAACAGAGCGTGGGCTTCAAACAGTAAATTTTGTTAACAGTAGTAATGCTCCAAAGAGGAAAGATCGTCACAGAAGGAGCAACACTGATGGACCTGCAACACAGAAAACCAAGGTAGACATTAAAGAATCTCTTACGTGGGCCAGCATGGAAAGCATGTCGGCTCACCTCTCCAAGCTGATCAACAGCACCTCAGACCTGCTGGGCGACGTCCAGGGAATGAGAACAGGCGAAGCTCACAGGGCCAGTCCGAGGAGGAGTGTCAACCTGTCAAATCTTACCGTCTCTTATAGTGAGTCTAATGACTGCACTAAGGCAGACTGCTCAACTCAGACAGCTGTAGATGTTGGGATCCAAACAGAAACGGCAGAGAAGGAAGTCATGGTTCATCAGTCACCCAGTGAAAAGTCCAAACCTCATGAGGTCAATGTGATAGTTAGAGTGATTGGTTCTGAGGCTGTCAGTGTGCCTCAAGACAAGGATGTGCACTGTGTGGTGAAAACGAAAGCTCACCCAGATGAAAAGATGCAGAGCGTGCCTGACCTGAGGTTGAACGCCTCTGTTGCGTCACAGTCAGAGAATGTCCCTCTCAGAACACCTCCGGTAAAGATTGCAGCTGAATGTCAGAGACGTGTAAGATCTGCTTCTTCTAGAGGCTCAAAACAAAGCACGTCTGAGGCACTGTGTCATAAAAGTGTTGCAATATCTGAAACCACCCACAGACTGTCAAGAAACGGCTACCAAGAAAATCACAGCTCGTCTGTAAGAAATGAACCATCTCCTTGCTCAAAGAAACAGGCTACATACAAAGATCGTGCATCTTCTCCCATTCTAACTGTGGGAGCCAGGTTAAGTTTGAAGCAGAGAGGAAAACAACCAATAATATGTCCTTCGAAATCTATGGATGGAAAAAGAAACCATGCTTCTGTGGAAGACAGCCCTTCTGTGCCTTGTAGCAAACAGTCGGTGTTCACATCTGTCTCAGACAATGATAAGATGTTCACGCCAGAGTGTGATGTTTCCTCTTGTCAATCAGAATCTGTGTCACTTGAGAAGGTGAGTGAGATCAGCTGTTCAAGCCCTAAAGGATCAGATAAATGCTCTACAAGCCTTAGTTCATCACTGGATAGATACACTGACACCGACAGGAGAAATGTCACATATAAAGACAAGGACCACCACCATCCCAGTTCAAAATGGCAGATGACCTCTCCACAATTGAGGACTTGTGCCTCTACAAAAGGTTTAACTTTACACAGCCACAGCTCTCCTATATTAAGACAGACTGATGTGAACAAACACCAGGCTAAAGTCGAACAAGGAAAACCATCAGGCTACGCAAGACCTGCGGCTGATTCTGTGGACTGTTGCATTGATTCCTACAACCCATCACCAGTCAGCGACAGGACTGTTCAACTTCAAGAGGATGACATGGTGTCACTGGCGCCCAGTGAATGCAACACAGATGTCCTTGTGAACATCAAGCCTGTCACCAGCATGTCCCCATGTCAAGACCACCAGATAGTCCCAGAAGACCTGCCCATGCACAACAAGTTCACCAACTGGTCGGGCATCAACCACCAGCAATCCAAACAGTCTAACAAACTGGCCACGGTGCTTAGCAACGACCACGACAAGAGCAGAAACTGTGCCGAATGGGGTGAGGTAGAAAGTTACGGCTCAAATGTGGAGTCTGTGGCACAGAGCGACAGAAGGGTGAGAGAGATAGAGAGGCTGCGACAGGAGAGAGAGCAGGTGATGGCGTCGGTCAACCTCAACATGAACCCAACACCTCTGACCGTGGAGCTGACGGAGGCCAAGCTGCATTATGGGCTGGGAGAGACGGATACGCTGTTGAAGATGCTGTCCCCGAGGTCCAGAGAAGAGCTGGAGCCACCGACCTCTTCTCCTACCAAACAGCAGCTTTATGATCGGTAAGGATACACACAACCCAACTACCCTTTATTTTGATGTAATAAAATGGCCCTAAACTAATTAGGACGGGGGGTACTTAGATACGGCTGCCAGTGTGATGCTTAGGTTTTGGTACGATTACTAAAGCAATGCATGTTTTCCAATTACTTAGTCTGAGGAATATAAACATTTGTCTATACAAGCCCCTTTTTTCACTTCTGCAATATATGCCCCACTTCCCAATGCATAATATTTAATGATGTCATAAAGAGGCTATAATCTGCATTTTATTGTGCAATAACTGTGTCAAATGACATTGTGAAAACAATGTGAAAGAAGTACACAGAGATGTGTCACCTGAAGCTCTCCTCAGCTTTCAGCTCATTCTTTAGCTGTCCAGCCCACAACTTCACTGTCAAAGTTTCTTAATTTCTTATTATTAGGAAATAACTGATCAAAGAATAAGTAAACAAGACTAAAATCTGGCCAAGTATTTAATACCATCTCTCAATACCTGACAGTTTTTCATATTACAGACTTATTTCAGACACCAGGAAGATTAGCAACCACATAAGCAGAAGCTAATTGGGAACCCATGAACAAGAACAATAAACAAACACATTGGGGTTGGTAGTGAAAATGTATTAAGGTTTGATAAACAGCCATACAAAATCAGCTAAAGTTAATATACCTACAAGGTACACAGATATCTTGTAATGTTTTTATAGACTTGGAAAACTCAAGAAAGGTTCAGTGCAATTACATTTTTTCCGTCTTTGAGCCAATTCACTCTTCTGATTTGTGACCTAAATTTATTGTAAAATTGACTAAAAGCCCCTTCTTTGACCTCGCTGGTTTTATTGTATTTTCTGTCTCAGACACCGTAGGAGTATTGAAGGTTTGAGGCAGGAGAGGGAGGAGCGGCTCCAGACTTGCAGGAGAGCTCGTAGTCTGAGTCCCAGCAAACATCCTCGCCGCTTTCCTCAAGAGCCTGCTTCATCCTCCAAGGTGTCTGCCGCTATGCCCAGTCGCCGTAAAGAGTACCTGCAACAGCTCCGCCAAGAGGTGATAGAAAGTACCAGGTGAGATACTGGTTTTTAAATTTGATACATAAATGTTTTTAAATTTAGTGTAGAAAATGTACATGAAAACATTTTTGCTGAGTTTTTGCTGAATTATCTGTGTGACAGAGTACCAAATCCTCCACGAGGAGAAGGCCAGTATCCGTCTGACATTGAGCAGATGTTGCGTGACTACGGCCGAGCCCGGGAAGAAGCCAGGACGGAGATTGCGAAGGCACGAGAACGTCTGCGAGAGAGGACTGAGCAGGAGAAGAGGAGGCTTCAGCAGCAGGCCCTGTCTCAGGAAGTGAAGGTCAGTTTGTGTGTCACTGCGGTATCATAATTATTTCATCCAAGTGTCCAAACACTTTAGTTCAGACTAAAGTTTTAGGTCAGACCAGCGTCAGAAAGAACACTTTGCTTGTGTTAGTGTTGCAACTAACGGCTATTTTTTTTTTTTTTTTTTTTTTCTTTCAATGAATCAATTGTTGGTTTTGTGTAAAGTCAGAAAATAGTGAAAAGGCCTATTACAGGTTCCCACAGACCAAGGTAACTTTTTGAAATTGATTGTGTTTTGAAATGTTGGTTGGACAAAACAAAGATATTTGATTTAGAATCACATAAAAGAGAGAAAAATGACAAATTCTCACATTTGACGAGTTTGAACCAGAAAATTTTCTTTGATAAAGGACTTAAATGATGACTTATTTATCAAAATTATTGACGATTGAATTTCTGTACATCAAGTAATTGATAAATTGCCAAATTGTTTAAGCGTTAGTTAGGTCTAATAAGTTGTTAATCACAGTTTGTTTTTTTCCTCTATTCTGATTATATAGGATTTCAACTAATTTGCCAGTTAACTGGGTCAAGATAAACCATAACAGCTCTGTTGTCATGGGCTTATTGATGTTAACATTAAAGAAGAATGGTTACTAAAATGTAGTATTGCAAATCATTTCATTGGGTGTCTCCATCTGTGTCGGGCAGGATGACCTGAGGCATCGGACCAGAATCAGTAACAGCACCTTGTGCACCGGATCTAGCCTGAGTCTTTCCTCTGGACCCACATCAGGGTACAACAGTGGCAACACTGTCCAACTACAGCACAGTGACAGACCAGTAATGACCGGACAGGTTGGCACACTAATGTTACATGTTATTGTACATTTGAAATACTGGAGATATAAGAACTTGTAGAAAATCAAAGGAATGTAAAAGGAATGTTTTGGATGATTTACTGTAAATATCTCACCTCTCTGTATTTTTTTCCTTTTTTGTTTGAATGAGCAACACAGGCCAGTTGCATCAATGTTACTGTTTTTGTTCAGACTACAGGGTTTCAGGATGAAGGGCTGAAGGTCAGGACACGTCCTCCTATATGTGGTGCTCAAAGTGTGAAGTCACAGAGAGTTTGGCTTTCTGCCCAGGGTAAGGACTGGACAGCGATTCACAAAACCCAAATAGATCTGTGCAAAACAACCATCCAAACTGTGCTCAAATTTTCTAAAATATAGTGTATTATTCCAGATATACCAGATTTTTAAAATGGTGGTAATTTAAGTAATTTTGCCCAGATCTGTCACTGGTTTGTCACTTAATCCCTTTCTACGTTCCCTGTATCTAACGTCCCTTCTAACATCCACGTGTCTTACTAGATGTCTGCCTTGAGCCCTCTGTCATGGTGTTTGAGCCCCTGGTGACCTCATCTCCATCACCCCCCACATGTGTTCGTCAACGCACTGCCTCCTTTGGCTCCTCCTCTTCCATATCCACGACCTATCAGGATATCACATCCACCCTCCTTGGGCGAGCTCTAGCTGAGGTAATGTTCAGAGTTAACCCCCCAAAAAAACCTTTTGAGATATCCAACACAAGCCATGGCATTAAAGATTACCATTATCTAGTGTTTATCTTAACGATTCTCCTTGTTTGTAATCTTCGCTTTCAGACATTTTTATCTGGTTTAATAGTACATTGTTTTCTCCACAGGTACGATTAGCTTCCGCTGGAGATTTGACTAACCTAGTGATGGGCAAGGCCACGGCAGGCTGGAGGTGAATTCAGTTATTTCATCCAAAACATATTACCTATTTTCATTTTAATCCCCAACTTCTACTGGCTCAGTATTCCTCCATCAATACTCTATATTGAGATCTGTCTATTCAGTACTTGCTCTCAGTCAACTTAATTAATATGAGAATATGCTACTGCAAAGGCTTCACTTCACAAAATCATGATTATCATTCAGTTTACTAATATATTAAGTTTGTTCATGTAGGTACCAAGGAGAAGAACGAGGGGTCCAGGCTTATTATAAGCCTTCCTCCAGCCCGTCTGTCCATGGGTTCCTGGGGTCCGGGGAGCTGGACAGACCCCTGGACAGCCTGTGGAACATGATCTGCCAGCTGTCCAAGAGCCACATGTACAATCAGTCAGTTCGTTCTGTCTGGACACGACCACTAGATGACAGCACTCAGCTGGGTGAGTTAACATCTCTGCTTAGTGTATATCTTTACCTGGTTTTCATAAATTATCATAGTGATTACCTGTGGTGGAATGTAACGTAAAGTATAAAGTTTGATTTTTATGCCACATTATACGTCCAGAACTTACTTAAAACTCTTAAGCAACCATTTCATTTTTATCTGTAGAATAATGAAAATTACAACTATAAAAATAAATGCTACTTACAAGTTAATTCATCAATAGTAATAATAATATTAATTTATAATATCATATATAAAAGTTTAACACTTACAAGGTTAATTTTTCAGCAATGAGTATTTGTACTTTTGATACTCTTAAGTACATTTTGTTGATTATATAAGTATACTTTTACTTAGGCCATATTTAGATATTTACATTGTCATATTAGATGTTTTCCCAAAGTGAAGGATCTGAATCCCTCCATCATCACTGTTTGCTACAATGTGAGACGATACGTGTTGAAAACGTTGCCAGCAAACTCTCTGAAATCCCAGATGATAGTTGCACTCAGATGACAGTATACATGAGACATGAAATCATGTACTCACCAGTGAAGTCATTCATGAGACACTGATGAGTCCTGGTTATTTGCGAAAGGAGCTGATGTAATAGAAGAGTTTACTTTGCAAAAAATATTTATGTTTTTGCAGAAACACAAAGACAAAAAAAGTATTTATATTTTTGTCTTTGCTGCAAGACTGTTACATTTTTGCAACGTATTAATGGACCCTGCAAATGTATTCACTTCAAAATTATGCACGTGCAGCCATAACTATCTATAGTGCAGTACAATACAGAGCCTCATTCATCACTGACAAGTTAATTCTATTGCATGACCAACTCCATTTTCACACCTGCAGTATGTTGCGTTTATTACCTTTGCAACATCATCAGACCTCTGCTTCTTCACTTACTCTGCTCTGTTCAAGTCTTTCAGACTTTTACAAAGTTAGGTTTGTGTATTTGTTTGTTTATTATAGTCGTTCATCATATCATGTTATAAATGCATGAAATTTTGCCTTTCGTGCTGACCGTGGAAGGTTGCTCTCCAACCTTAGTAAGCAGTAAAGTTGTGTTCACCAGTCTGACGTATTCTCTCTCTGTATTTCTGTTTAGTCTACATACTAACAGATCCGTCCACCTGCCACCTCAGCCAGCCGCGGGACTTCTGCTGCATCAGCACTGAGTCCAGACAGGTAAGCACAGCTGTAAAATCACCCAGCCGGTCCTGATGATTACTGCTAGTCGCCCTCATGTCCGGTGAGCATTTGCTGCAAAGCTAAACACAAACTCATGCCGTAGTTTGAAGGAGAAAATTCAGTTTGCTGTCATTAGCGTGCCATGAAGCCAGGATTGGACAGTGCTGTCTTTTGAAATTCAGTGCACAGTGCGACATTAAGTTTTTCATCTGCAAAATGCAGAACATACTATTTAGCCACTAATGCTCACAGAAACAACACCAGGCATACATAATACTGCCCCAGAGGGAGTGGGTGTGGAAGACACAGTGTCGGCTGTTGGTTATCAGTTGGATGTCAGTGTACAGTTGCCTCTCGGCTGATCAAAAGGCTGTGCTGCCTGTTTTATTGATGGTTTTCTTCTCGCTCTCTGCCTCAGGGTGGCCTGTGCGTGCTGGCAATGCAGTCAGTGTTTGAGGAGTCACTGCCTCGTCCCAGCGTTGATGCTGTCCGAGGGGAAATGATGCCCAGTTGTTGGGTCCTTCAGCCAATTAGACGCAGTGGAAAAGAAGTCACCAGGGTCATCTACCTGCTGCAGGTGAGATATAGTTTCTATAAACTAATTGGCTGCCTGATAGATGTGTTGTGCTCACTAGCAGCACCACCGCATTTTAACTGCCAGCAAAAGCACAGATGTTTTGATCAGCAAAAGCCCCCTCTGACAGCTAAAGGGTGTGTGTGTGTGTGTGTGTGTGTGTGTGTGTGTGTGTGTGTGTGTGTGTGTGTGTGTGTGTGTGTGTGTGTGTGTGTGTGTGTGTGTGAATTTTTCAGTCTCAAAACACGTATGTGAAATGCTTTTGGTGCAGGACCAAGGGCTGTGAAGGATTTAAACCCAGCCAGCATCACTTAGTAGTTTAATTATAAGTCCATGATTTCTTGCATTGTAATCAGATCAAATGTTAATTTAAAATAAATTGTAAAATTGGAGTGGCCAGCTAGCAGAGTGTGGGCAGCCGTCTGACACAGATTTTGCTATGGTTCTCTACAGCAAGAGAAAATTTATGGGTCACCATTGGCAGGCTGCTTGATCTTAGTGAAGTGGACTTGTATGTAATGTAATGTAGATTTCACTGTCCGTATTTGATTCCAGAGTTGACGTTTATTGTTGGAACAGCTGAACCCCAGCAACATTAGTGTCTGCTAAGGCAGAACCTAATGGAGAGCCAATAAAATAAACCAAAAAATGAGCAAATAAACAGCAGCACAGCTGTAACTGGGGTTTTGGTGATTTGACGTGTTTTCATTTATTTAAAACTGGACAAAATTTTATTATAACCTGTATTTTAATGGTGTTTCGATAACTATATTCTCAACATGACACATTTGTCAAAACGGTTAAAAGCTGAAATCGCTGTCTCACTGTACAAACTCACAAGTGAGATTTATTTACTTCAACCTTTGATCCGGATTCATCCATATGAATTATGGTTGGCAGGTGATGCTCAATCTGAATGATGTTTGTCTTTGCTGTATTATTCTGTTACTTAGTATTTCTCATCTCCTTAAGGTGGATCTAGGAACTCCATCTTTTCCTCCCCGACTTTTGAACACCGTTGCCAGACGACAGGCAGCCGCCATCGCCGATCTTGACGTTTTCCTCGCTTCGTACATGAAGACTCGTTAGCAGTGAGCACTTAGACTGAAATCTCTCCAGCATGGAGTTAGCCTGTCTTTTTGAATTTGCACCTGAAATGTATGTACTTGACTTTTTCTATTTCAAGAGCACTGTTATATATTCATTCCCAGTTAAAAAGTCAAAGCAGCTTCTTTTGTATGGAGGTATTTTTTTTATAAGATATTGAAACTGTATTTTTATATTTGTACATGTACATGGATGCTTTTAACAATCACAATCCTTTTTTACCAAAGATTGACTAGAAGTCTAAGGATTGCATTTAGGTTTCGACAGATTCATCAATTTCTTCATGTGATTCATCTGATGAAGTAGCTTGATAATTCTGTTATAATCTGATAAACACCAGCCATTTAATTTCCCTAAAGCCTGTTAGCAATATGGTGTCTGTTGATTCCTACCACATTGTAACGTGGACAGTCAACTTTGTTTAAGTTGAGGTCAACACCGTAGCTAGAGAGAACATTTAAGATGAAGTTTAAGAGTTAGTCAACGGATAAATTTTTTTAAATGAAAGAAAGTAGCGGCTGAATTGACGGGTTAATCCACTTCCAAACATGTGAAGGAAATATTTGCAAATATCGTTCATCCTTGATTTGTTACTGTACATGCATATACTTATTTCCCCAGACACTGCATATCTTAACCACTCAATGACCTTAATTCTGCAGACACTGAACTTGAAATGTCTTTCAACAGTTTTTCAGCAAAAAGGGGAAAGGTAAATATATGGAAAGGACTGTACAAAAATTATTAGGGAAGACGGGGTCAGAAAAGTTGGAGGGTATAGTCATTTTAATCTTGGCTGAATGTAGAGTAGTCTTGTCTTACTTTTTGGGGAGAGCAATGAGGGTCTTTGATTTTTCTCATTCTAGATTAATATTTTATTTTAGCTTTCTATTATCAGCCATAGTCCTAAAGATGTGCAGTTTTGTCTTTATCAGTGTTTCATTTATTTATATGCATTTGGTGGTGCACGTTAGAAGTTAAATTAAGGTATGATGGTTTAAATTCAGGTATATGATTAAAAAAGTAGTCTCAGTTTTAAACAGTTATATTATTTTGACACGTTGCAGGGAGGTTGTTGCAGTGTTTTTTAAGTCCAGAGGAGACTTCAAAGAAAACAACAGTAACCTTGGTGAGTGCCTTGCTTTTTGAGAAAGTGAAACATAAGTTTCAGCCCACCTCACTACCCCTTAAATTTTTGTACAGTCCCTGAATTGGATAGTACGATGGTTTATTGAAGGAATTCAAAGAATTATTTATTTAGTGTTAGGTTGTTTTTATCTGTGTTTATCTGTATGAGCACTGCAAGTTTAACGTCTTCGGAGCTCTTTCTCTCTCTGCAGAAAATCTAATCTAAAGACAAAGCAGTAGCAAAACAGTGAGAGGATGAGGTGGAAAGTCGCAGACCTTTTGGATTTAATAAGCCAAAAGGCAAAAAAGGCCGATCCGCTTTCAACACAAGGTCACTGGTTCAAGCCATCTGGCCTGCTGAAGTGTCCTTGAGCAAGTTACTGAAGTCACCAACCAGCTCCAGGCATTATGCTCTGTAGCTGACCCAGACATCTGACCTCCCTTTTTTTCATTTGTACTTTATGGTACCCCAAATCTGCATAAACTGAGTTTTAAAGGCTTTTGTTCTCACCTTTTTCTGAAGTCTGTTGTATTTATTTTGATCCTCCTGCCCTCTGTTTGAAATGCTGATGAATGTTTTTTTTAGTTGTCTTTTATGAGCAAAGCGCGATGCTGTGTTTACAGCAGCTTGCACAAAACCCTTTATGCATTTATTAATGTTACATATTAAAAAGGTGATTTTTGTTTTCATTTGTACAGTGTTGAAACTATGCAGAAACTGATCAAAGGCTGGACTGCTCTCAGTCAAAGCTGGGTCAGCTGTGTCCAGATATGAAGCCATATTTACAGTAGCTGAATGTTCAGGACTGGTTGAGCTCTGCAGCTGCGGCGCTCAGTTTGACACTAAAGACGTTCCCGAGGGAACCAAAGAGAAAGAGACAAAAATACTGGAGAAACAGAGTGAAGGAACGCAAAGACAGCTTTTGTACTGATTTCTTTTGTATGGGTATCTATATATTTTTAAGTGCTTGTTCATTGTGTAAAAAGAATTGTTATTTATGTTTTGACAGTGTGTTGTAAATGTGTTTTATTATAAACACTCTGCTTGTACTTTATTATAAACACTCTGCTAATAAGATGTTACTTGTTTGGCCATTCTTTTAATACAATACATATTTTTTAAGTGAATTGTTGTCTTCCCATTTTTTGGACTTGTTTATTGCCTGTTTATGTGATGGTCTGTTACAAGATTTATGATATATGATCAGAATCTTTAATCTTTTGCAAAAGCCAGTGTTGTATTACAGCTCTTGGTATTGAAACCTTAATGGATCAAAATGTGTCAAAAACTGTCAAGTACCAGAAGCTGGCATTGAATACTATAGTTTACTTGCTCTTTGATGGGCAGTTTGTGATTTCGATAATAATTTTGTAATTTCACACAGTTTTATTCAAACAAACTTCTTGTACAGTTCTTGCACTGCATGTGTTTATACTATAATTAGCATTTAAGAAGTTTGGCTTTTTTTTTGTTTAATTTAAAAAACAGTTTTGTAGGATAATATCTTAATACTCCTCAAAGTTTGTTTTTTTTTACCTTGTTTTAGTGCTAAACATCAGTTACTGTATATAATGTCCAATGATGCCCAGCCTGGGTCTAAGTGGTCAACCCACATTTTGGTTCAGTTGGTTAAGACCTACAGAATGTAACACCATTATGTTACTTTTCATAAGTTTTAAATTCAAGCTGAAATTAAATTGAACAGTTTGCGTTTAAGTAAAATATATGAAATGCAGTGATGTCATTTCATTCGTTTCTAATCCAAGTTATGTTTGACAGAAGAATTTCTCCTGTTATTTTAATACCAGTGATGTGAGCTGCTCTGCTTTGTTCAAAGTTACTTGTCAACAACACCTCCTCCTGTGAGCAGCTTTAAGTAGCTGCTGTTGCACCAGCAGATAATGAATGACAATATAATGAAACACATGTAATAATAATATTAAATATGTCTTCATAGGAGAATTGTTGACAAATAAATAACACTTAAAATGTCCTTGTATCTCCTTACACCCACGTTACAGTGTGTTATAACTTGTAAAATCAATGTTTATGCTTATAAAAGCTAAATAGGTTATATGGTTAAAGCCCTAGTGTGCACTCACACTGTATGTCACATTATCTGACAGGTGTTTTCACTCGGGCAAAAAGTGATGGACATACTTTCTAATGAGCGGACTTCTCTACATGTCCAGACCTCTCCTCTCCGCCCTGCATGTAAGTGACACACAGCGGCAGCGGTGGAGGTGACATTTCTCAGAGGGTCTCGGTGGGTGGGTGGTGGTTGTGTGTGCGATTAGAGCCCGACTGGGGTGGAGCAGAGTTGGGGTGGGGGGTTGTACAGGAGATCAGAAGTGCCTCTGCCATTTAGAGTCACCAGCTCTTGTCAGGAATGTCCGTCCCCCGCGCGCACAGATCATGTACTGGATGCGCCCACTTTATTTTTAACCCGGCAGGGTGGGTCAGTCGCTGGCTTTCGGGAATGACCGTGGAGCGCGCGGCGCCTTCAGCCCCTTTCCCTCGTCCCCCGTGCCCCCCTCGCGCTGTGGAGACCCTCGTCCGCTCTGACCAGGACAGCGCTGCTTCAATGGGATTATAATTGGTTCACTGGCAGGGAGAAGACTCAACATAAACAGATTCGGACAGGACAGGACAACATCCAGAAGCAAGTAAGTGTAAATTGAAGGCAGAGCTAATGCGCCATTGTTAAATGAAATTATTGATCTTTGGCCAAATAGTTGCTGTCAATGGTCACTGAATGGTGCTCATTCCATTAAGACTACTATTGTTTGCCGTTGTTTGTAGTTGAGTTACAAGTTTCCTGTATACCACCTGTTGGACCAGGCTGCCATGTTAAATAATGACGTCGATTCAAAAGTGGTAGACTGAGTGTTTAAATTAATGGGCTCTGTTGTCAAAATTAACCTGTGTTTGTTTTAATTAATCGACACCTTGTTAAATTCCCGAGCTATCAGTTTGTTATCTTTGACTGTGAGAAGGCCGCAGGGAGGCGCGTAGGTGAAATTGCGCACAATGACGCCACTGCGCTTGTTTGCGCGTGGAAAAAGTGCGCTTTACAAAAGTGGCTTCTATGTTAAACAGGTGGAGGAAGTTTTCAGATTCTAAACTTAAAGTGGTAAAAGTTCAATATAAAAATACTCTACTGCAACTAAAAGACCTGCTTTGAGAATGTCACTTTAGTAAATGTATTTTTTATTATTATGTAGGCCTATTTACAATCAAAGGTAAAAATACATACATACACATATATAAAATTTAAAAAAAAGAAAATGCCCCTTGGGATATTATATAGGCTATTACATTGTTGATTTATTATGACTGGTGCCTTAGTGTACAAGTAACATGTCATTGTTGTGTCTGGTGAAGGTGAAGGTGGAGCTGCTTTTAATCATTACTTAAAAGCATTACTTACATAACATACTTTTAGACTGTTTAACATACATAAAATATATCATAATTTATTATCGGATCATGTTGTTTTGTTTGTAAAAAATCTTAATCTGTAATGTAGCTAGAAAGTAAAGCTATCAAATAAATGTGGAGTAAATATGTATTTATATGTCAGAGGGGAATATTTTTATTTTCCTATGAAATGCAGTAGAGTGAAGAAGCTTACATAGTAGAATGAAGTGGAAATACTTGAGTAAAGTACCTCAAATGTACTTAGTTACATGTTTTCTCTCTTTATCTCTCTCTCTCTACGTTGCATGTTGCACCCTTGATTGAAAACAGTGTGTTGACTTTTGAAAAATGAAACGTCCCCTGCTCAACACAGACGTTCACCTTTATTCCCCTTAAAAGGACAAGTGTGAGTGTGTCGCTGTGTCTGGACGAGCAGGAACTTTTGTGTAAACACACTCCACGAATAGTTTACTATCAGTTCTCTTACTAGATCAGGCCTCAGTATTGTCGCAGTCAAAACAAAACTGACCACAACAAAGGAAGTTTGTTTTTCACAGCTTGTTTAAAAAATGGATGCACAGTATGGATTATGCTAAACAGAGTGTTTTTACACTGAAAATTCACCATGTGTTTCCTTGTAGCTTGTTAAAATTCATAAGTAATAGTTTAGTGTTGATTTTTCCAGTTTGAGGAGAAAGTTAAAGCTGGAGACTTTGTGGAGAGTAACCAGCCCCTTCTCCTCTTCCTCCTCCTCTTCCTCCTCCTCCTCCTCCTCCTCCTCCTCCTCCTCCTCCTCTCCTTCCATATTGATCTCTTATGTTTATGTCTCAGATTTACTTTCTGCTGTACCACAGGCCTTTCTCTCCTCAGTCCAGTTGCTGCTGTTTTGCTGCTACAGTCTCACACACACTGTAGATGACACATCTTGACCACACCCTTCTCTTATTTCATCCTCTCCATCTGACTCCATGCTACTCAGAATAATGTGCTCACTGCGAGCCAACTAATGTGTTGTGCTGCTGCTCAGAGTGCACTCCAGGCACCAGCATGGAGTTTGCTTCCAGCTGGGAGCATGGTTGCCAGGGGTATTATTCACCTCAGGCGCTGATTTGATGTTTACATTGTACATATTTGTTTATAATGTTGTTTTGCATTCGCAACAAAGGGGGGGTGCAGTCAATTAAAATCAAGCAGGAAAGGTCATAATCAAAGTTTTTTCACACTTCGTAAACAAGGCATCGTGCTGTCGGCTTTAGAGAGTTTCGACTCAGCAAATGTGTTAAAAATCTCATTCACACCTTTTAACCATTCTTCCAAAGGCAATCATGTGCAGATGTGCACCCACACAAATCAAAACTCATGTGGCATCATTGTAATTTCCAGCAAAAAGAAATATGAAATGTTTTTTTTTCCCAAGAAGGTCAAGCAATGCTTGGATATCTTGAGAAATCCCAGCTGACATTTTTTATCATCCATCTTGACATTTTACTACTTTTGAGAAATTATCCAGAATGTCTTACTCATCAGCTCACAATGTGCAGCTATGAAAATGTTGTGTTCACTGGACCGTGTGCTGAGGACTTTATCTACAGCAGGTGATTGGAAGAAATACAAGTGGTGCCAAAGCATTGTATCATTAGCCTTATCAGTAGAGCCAACAGCAGCTCAAGAATATGTTATCTGTATCGACCTAATATCAAATTATGCCCTGTACATTGCAATGGTGGCACTAATAATATGACTTATAATGCAATTACATCATTTAGCATTGCCACACTCAGACTCCTCTAAACTTGTGTCGATCAATCAAGTCGTCAAACGCCAAACAATTCACCTGCAAACGTTTTCATCACAGTTTCATTGTTTTAAGTCATTTATGGAGGAAAAATGCAAAACATTTGCTGCTTTTTTTCTGTTTTATATCATTGCCATGAAATTTTGTACAGATTCTTGATCCCCAGAGGATGACTCTTAATGTCTCTGGTGATCCTCTGACTTTTCCTCTAGCGCCACCATCAGGTCAAAATTCAGATTTGTCCAATACTTTGGTTCATGTACAGATACTTGAAAAAACCTCAGTATTCCCATCAGCCTCAGCTGCAGTTTGTGCCTAGTGCTAATTACTGAATAGCATTGCAAAAGATATTGTAATTGTGACCATGTTAGCATGTTGACATTAGCATTTAGCAGCCTCACAGAGCTGCTAACATGACAGTAGACGCTTCCATTATTTGACAGTCGAAAGATTAAATGATTAGTAGAGTAACCATGGAAATAATTGAAACATTAGTTACTAATGAAAGCAGCTGTTAGCTGCTGCTATAATGGAAACTTTAGATTTCAATAATGATTTAGAGGTCTGCATCTCTACCAAGTGTTCAGTATAATGAGTTTAGCCAAATTATAATATTCTGACACGCCTCACAGCTACATTCATATTTATTTTACACTGTAGAGACTTAGCGCAGACAGTGACAGCGACCCACTGTGTGTGATCAGGTATGTAAGAGTTCTGCCTCTCGCTCAAGGACACTACAAGACGATACTTGGCTATTGACAGACACACAGTTGCTGTGGCAGGCAGTGAACTCATGACCTTTCTGTCACAGGACTGTCTATAAGCAGGAGGCCATCTTGTCTTTATACAGCTCTAAATGGAGCCTACTACAGTATCACTGAGTGTGTGTCTCAGCTCAAACACTTAATTTGCTGCGGTTTGTGTTTGCCAGCTAAGTCGAGCAGTCAGTCCTCAGACACAATTACAGTCTTATTGGTTTTGTATACAGCTGACAGCTCGTGGATATGGGAGTATGTGTAAAGAGGTTTTGTGCAGTATGAGCGTGCGGTGCAGTAGTACTGTCCAGGTTGTGTGTGAGGTGATAAGGGGATCCCCAGCGGTGGGTGGAGCGTCCCCGTGCTGATATCAGCCGTCTGCAGAGGACTGATACTGAGCAGGAGGAGGAGGGACACCTGTAGGATGCCATCATTGTGCATTACTGAGGGCCTCTTCCCTGAATGCACCGGACAAACATACTGCATAGCCACCATGTGACTTCATGTCATAAGTTTAGGAGTGGTGGAAATTAACTTATTTATTCAAGTACTTTACTGTACAGCCCAGCAGTAATTGAAATTACCCCCACTTTTAACAGCTGCAACATTCAAATGATCTGTACATTATTGCGTCATCAATTGTAATAATAATACAATATAATCCATTTTTCTGAAATTGACCGTTCTGCATAATGACTACTTCTACTTTTATGGCTTTAAATATACAGTCACTGAGCATTTGATTAGGAACACAATATTAACACTGGGTCAGGCCTCCTCCTGCTCTGAAAACATATATTCCACAAGATGTTAGAAAACATTACTTTGAGATTCTGCATCACATAAGTTCTGCAGATTTGTCAGCTGCACATTCATGCTGCCAATCTCTTGGTCTACCACATCCCAAAGGTGCTCTGTTGGATTCAGACCTGGTGACCGGGGAGGCCACTGAGGTTCACCGAACTCGTCGTCAGACTTTTGCTTTGTGACATGGTGCATTATCATGCTGGTGGTAGCCGTTAGCAGATGGTAAATTGTGGCCATAAAGGGATTCATACGGTCAGCAACAATACCCAGATAGGCTGTGGCATTCAAACCATGATTGATTGATATTTAGGGCCCAAAGCGTCGCAAGAAAACATTCCCCACACCATTACGCCACCAACAGCAGCCTGGACTGTTAAAACAAGGCAGGTTGGGTCTATGGATTCACGCTGCTGATGCCAAATTCTGACCCTACCATCTGCGTGTCTCAGCAGAAATCCAGATTCATCAGACCGGGCTACATTTTCCAGTCTTCATCTGCCCAGCTTTGGTGAGTCTGTGCCCTCTGCAGCCTCAGATTTCTGTTCTGTTCTTTTTTGGCCGTCTGCTGCTGTGTCTCATCAACCTCAAGGTCCAACATGTCACGCTGCTGTTGTGAAGCTTTTCCGCTATTTTCATATTTTATTTTATTAGGTTCGTTTCATGAAATCTCAGTGATGTATTCAGATTCGTTATTTAAGTAAATGACTTAAGTAAGTAAATTAACCTCAATAAATTAACAATGTCACAGGGAAAAATGTTTCCATTGCAAAAAAGTCCTGCATTGAAAAAATCTACTTAAGCCAAAGTACAAAAGTATTATGAGTAAAATGTAAAATGTTTCTCACTACACAGGCCTCTGACTGTGTTATATTAATATGATACTACTGGATTGTTATTGTTGGTGAATTAACACATAAACAGTGTTTTAATGCTGTAGCTGCTTACAGTGGCCCTAATACTAAGTATTTTATGTACTGTTGTGTTATCTAATTTACTTTATAACAATACAACTTATTGTATATACTCATTATAGGTTTTTAAAATCTGAATCTGCACAGTAACTACTGACTTCAGCCAAATAAGTGTAGTGGATAAAGAAAAATATGATTCTTCCCACTGAAGTGTAGAGGATTAAACATACAAACTATCATTTAAAATGCCCAGATAATGTAAATACTTCAGAATTGTGCTTAATAGATTACTTGAGTAATGTACAAACACACACACACACACACACACACACACACACACACACACACACACACACACACACACACACACACACTCACAGTTCAAACTACGTGAGCTGCATCATTCAAAAGAAGGCGGTTTCGTCATGTTCTGCAGTGCAGAGGGGTTGCCCCCCCCCTGTGTGACATGATAAGAGAGCTATGCTGCACCCAGATAGAGCTATCAGAGCAGTTACCCTTCAACCCGCCATTCCATGCAAAGAATACACGGACGCACTGCAGGGTGACAGTTGAGCAAAGTGACACACACAAAATGGAGATTGTGAGGGGCACAGGAGCTCGTGGGGCCAGTGTGACGGCTGTGATAGGTGAGATTCCTGTTTAAAAATATACCTGTGCCACATCTGAGATCACATAGCTTTGCCCAAATTGCCAAGATTAAATTCTGGTGCCAGGTATAGATGGAGCTTCCCCTCACTGGGATTCATGAAATGAAACTTAACACCTGAAAATAAAACTAAACCGCAGTCAGGTGCTCCCTCCAAAGAAAAGTGGTCTTTCCGATCAGCATCATTTTCTTGTTTTGTCCCTGTACCATGGCTGCAGCTGATGACTATTCTCATTATTGATTAATCAGCTGATTATCTCCTGGATTAATCGATTATTCTATAAAGGCTCAGAAAGCAGCGCATACACCATTGTGCACAGTGATAATCAAACATCCAAGTGACATAACAATAAAACAAATTTTTGAGTGGGAGGGGTCTTTAAACCACTTTATTCTCTGCTGTTTCATTCTGATTTCTGTATAACTTTTATGATTAAAGTTGTCTCAGTTACAGTCTTATACGTGCTGACCCCCAGTTAATCATCATAATCAATCATAATGACACCTCTACTGTATGTCCTTCCCCTGTGTTTCAGACTACCTGCAATATCCCAGGTCCATCCTGCCTTCCTCTCCTCCACTCATCTCCATCCTCACCCAGAGCACCTGAGGACGCCAGCCGCCGTCCCCCCACCTGCTTGCCACACTGGCTACCGCCATGACTTCCACCACAGACTTTGACAATGTGGAGATCACGCAGCAGTACAGCCACATCAACACCCGCTTTGACCTCTGTGATGAGGAATTAGACAATGACAACAGCTCTGCCAGGCTGTTTGAGCGCTCACGCATCAAGGCCCTCGCAGGTGAGTGACTGCATAGTAAACAGGCTACGTCCCGTCCTCGCTGAGGCATTTGTGTGGCGGATTTTTGAGATGACAGTGTCTTTTTAAGAGCGTGGGAAGGGCAGAAAGGATGAGCTATAATGGGTGTCTGTTTAGCTTTGCCAGGGTTGAATGAGCTTGAATGAAACATTGACCTTCACACAAATTTAGTCAAAAAGAATTACAAAACCACACTCCAGGCAGTCCATGATTTTACTTCAAAACACCCAGCTAGAGCTCTGTAGGTGTTGTTGTTGTGTGTGTGTGTGTGTGTGTGTGTATGTTTCTCATGGTGTAACACGCTCCCAGCAGCTGAGCCCCGACACCGCTCCGCACCCTCTGCAAGTAGCTGGGATCACTTGCGCATTCCCAGAATGTCTCCCGACTGACCAATCTGGACAGCTGCCCTGCCCGTCTGCCTGCCATAGCACAGATCTCTGGCATTTCTGGCTAAGCTGGTAAGCTGTGACCCACCTGTGGGCCGGCTGCTCGGGGGTTTTAAAATAGCAGCGTTTCTGCGGTGGGAGGAAGCATAACAGTTGAGGGTCACACGATGTTCATGTCTGTAAAGCTGCAGACACAAGAGAGGTCAGCCACAAGGTGGTAAAACGCGAACTCTTGCTCTGTGGAGAAAGATCTTCTGGGTAGACCTGGGTGTCATTTATCTTTTCGTTTCTAGTGCAGATACAATGCCTGAATTTTGATGCTAACACCAAAATGGCAGAACCTCTACAAACCCCCTTTTTTTTTTTAAATGAACATAATGAGTTCTCAAATGTCAAATTTAAAGTTTAAATTTGACACATTATCACAGAATCAAGTTTTTATGGCCAACACGTAAGCAAGGATGTTGTTTACATTAGCTGATCGGGATCAGCTGCTCCATTCATGCTTTACAATTATTGGCTCAGTCATCAGTTGTTTGGCTACCAGCCGACTAGCACCCTCCAATCATTGTCTTGCAGGTGTACAACGGCCCTTTATAACTGCTGCAGCTCTTCCACCAGTAACTTTGAAGTATTGTTAACTTTACTGAGATCTAATTTCCATGCCTGTGTTTGCTTCTCCTTCAAAGAGCAAAGTCTCTTCCCATCAGATCTAACTGTACCATCATTTGTTATAAATCCCTTGATGCAAGCATCTCTGATTTAAATAGAGAGACAATGAAAGAATGCAATTACATCGAATGGCTGTTTCTGAAAAAAAAAATAGGTCATAAACAGTATCACTAAACCAGTGGGGATATAATGACTCACAATCAAGAAATGTGTGATCTGAACATCAGTGCCAGCTTCCATTGTTTCAGACACTTCGGTTGGTCCCAAATAGTATTGTGGCTCAATATCCAGCCCTGCATCTGCGAGGCCAAACTGTTTAAATCATGTCCAGACAGTTTATCGGACAGTGCTCTCACCACTTTTCTTGCCTTGTCTCTTTCTGTCTCTTTAAGTGATGTAGACTTCTGTGTGGGTGTTGGTGATATTGTGTTAGAGTGCTGCTGCACTGATGTTTCTGTAATGTAATCAGTGTTTCCTGTCAGAGAGAGAGAGAGAGAGAGAGAGAGGGAGAAGGAGAGTGGGAGAAGGAGGGAGGAAAGTGAGGAGAGAGGCAGGAGATGAGAGAAGCTCTGAATGACACCCACTGCTGATTTACAGCTTGTGAACTCAGAAATATGTGCCCAGCATGTCCTCAAAGAGTCCTCATACAGAACGTATTGATTATCCAGTAATTTACACTGCTCCTCATACAAGACTAAAAAGAAAAAGACACATACCTTTGAGATAGGTAGTTTTATGTTGGCACAGGAAATCACAACAGTGCCAGTCATGTGCTTCAAATTCAGTGATGTCACGACTGTGTGGGAGGGCTGGGTAGAGGGAGGGAGTCGTGGGAGCACGTGGACGTATTGAAACATATTGTATGCATGGATGATGCTAGAGAAACCACTCTGAACTGAACCGAAGGCTGCCTGAGCCCTTGTGCCGCCTGAGAGTGGAGGCACAGCATCATTACGGCAGCAGTGAGGAGAGAGTGAGAAAGAAAGAGGAATAAGAAGGAGGGAGGGAGGGAAGGAAGGAGGGAGGGAGAGAGGAGGAGTGAGCGCGAGAGGGATCTGGAAAGGAGGACAGAGAGCCAAAGAGACAGAGAAGAGGAGAGACGCGGAGAGCCAAGGTCCTCTGCCAGCTCCAGGCTGCGTGTTGTTGTTGTTTGGGGGTCAAGATGAGCAGCCCGTGCCTGCTGCGCTCTGCCCCTATAAGCCAACCCCGGCTCCGAGAGGTCAAGATCAGCCTGAAGGCCAGCAGCAGGGAGACCACAGCCATCCGGAGCAGCAGCGGAGGGACCAAGGAGGCTGCCAGCCGGCCCTATGCCCCGGCAGAGAAAGAGGCCCCTGTGCGGGTTGGCATGAGCAGCAGCAGCAGCAGCCGGAGCAGGAGCACCCCGCCGGTCCACCGGGCCCAGAGGCCCGAAAGCAGGAAGACGGCGAGGGGGAGCATCAGCAGGCAGCAGCAGCAGCCGGAGCACCACCCGGAGAGGAACGGCACCCTCCTGCATGTCCCGCTCGCCGTGGCACCCGCCGTGGGACTCTCCCCCTTCTCCTCATCCTCATCCTCGTCCTCCTCTTGCACCCCGAGACGTCAGCGGCCCTCTCACCCTCACCCTCCGCCTCCACCCGCCCCCTTCCACTCCTCCTCCTCCTCCTCTTCCTCCTCGGCCAAGAGTATGAAGCGAGCACGCTGGCTGAGTTACAGCACCTCCAACATCTGTTTCAACTCCATCCTGGATGGACGCTTCAGGCAGCTGCAAGGTACAGGGACCTGATGGCAGAACCGTGTGTGTGTGTGTCTGTGTGTGTGTGTTTGAGAGTTTGTCCACCCTCTCCTCGCCTCACAGATGAGAAAGACAACACTTTTCCAATCATGCCCCTCCCTTCCCCAACTTGTGTCTGTGTTTAGGCCAGGACGGGATTGCGGGGAGGTTGGGCTGCGATGTGAGTAAGTGTGAGGTTAGTCATCCTGTTGTGAGAGGTGGAAAAAGGCAGCAGCAAAAAAAAAAATGTCAAAGCGGTGGGCCTTTTATTGAATGTATCGAGTAGTAATTTATTTATTTTCAGGAAGATGTAGCTCTGCCCTAATTGTTCACTGACTTGGTGTTGAATAATTCATAGGCAAACTCCTAAAAAAGGTTGTGATGTTTTTCCCTCCAAAGCTATTTGTGGCTAGGTAGTGTTATGCACTCGCAGGTATTTCTTTAAGATAGCAAAGCTTGTCACCTCTTCTCCATATGGCCCTTACCCTTCACAAACTGTTCTGAAGAACAAAGTGTGTTTTGTGTCTAACTCTTTTTTTCCCTGAATGATTGTGAAAAAAAAAAAAAAAAAAAGAAACGTAATGCATTTCTCTGACTGTTTAACTTCTCCCTGCCTGTGATATTAAGGTTTTAAGAGTGAGGTTTGCCGTCACTGTGGATTTTTGTTAGCTTGCACTATGCTATCCAACTCCCTGATGACCGGAGTGCATTAGTGAGAGGAAGAAAATGGAGGAGATGATGCAGGAACAGAGAGGGAAACATGCTTCTTTTTTTTCTTTTTCTTTTTTTTTTTTTCTGCCCTTGCTAGATTTCAAGTATCGACTGCTTCTGCAGAGACAACTGATACGTGAAGCAGCAAACTTTTTGAAAGGGGGGGGGGGGGGGGGGGGGGTGTTCAGAGCCAAGTGTATTGATCCAACCAATTGCATTTCATGAAATTGTATTTACTTTTTATTTACTCGCTATTAGGGAGGTCTGGTCAAGACTGCAGAGGGAATGAAGTTGGACAGAACAACAATAATAAAAAAAAAAAAAGAAGTAGTAATAGAAACAGAAGTAATAGCTGGAGAACGAGAGGGAAAACAATATGTGTTTTGCATTTATTGATTTCAAGCATTCATGCATTTTCTTATGTCTTTGTTGAAGTTGACACGCTCATTGGTTTTGAGTATTACTGCTGCTCTGATTGCAGAAAAAGTCTTTTTTTTCTCCTAGTTGTTTTTTGTGACATATTGACCTTTAACCTTTTGGCTTTCTTCAGTCATGTCTGCACACCTTCCTCCTTTCTTAATTGTCTCCTGTTCACTCTTTGAAAAATACAACCTTGCCATGAGTTTGATCCTCAAATTATTGTGAATATATGCTATTCAAGAGTTTGTTTTTGCATCTTCTCTTAATCATCATTAGATAAAACACTGGCCTGTTTCTCTCTCACACTCAAATGTGCATTAATCTTATGCTCAGCAGCTGCAGAATGTGAGTCCATCTATCAAAGGCTCAGACATTTCATCTTAGACCGAAATCAATCATAAACAAAGCCAACAGAGCAGGTGTTTCATTTACTCCTGGACGAGCCTGTAAACAAAGACATGGTATCAGTGCCGGACAGGTAGCGCCGGCAGTGCCATGACTCAGGCATGTTAGCTGGGTGCTCTGGGACCACTGGGCCGCATCCAGTAAGAGCTGACTGTGGGAAAAGACAGATCAGGCTGTATACAGGGAAAATCCATCAGCATGAATAAGTCATGGGGCTTTCACTAAAGTCAAAGAGTAAGTAAGTAAAAGCATGTGAAAACAGAGGAATGTTTAGCAAGGCTTGTACTGACATGCAGGAAGAAGAGGGAGCCGGGAAGTTTGGGAAGAGGGAAGCAGCAGGAAAGTGACAGGAAGCTGCTATGGTCCAGTCAGTGTGGAAGGACTGTGATGAAAAGTGAGAACTATAAGGAACTTATGGCTCATGTATGATATTTAATTCATGTAAAAATGACAGTATGACAATGACAGCTTCTGTTGCAGCACTACTAAGAACAACCAAACATTGAACATGCAGTAAAGTTGTGGTCAGCCCATTGTGTTGCAGCTATTGCCGCTACTTTCAAGTTTATGAACTGTAGCTAAATATGCAAGTCTCATTTGTCTTTTCCAAAAGCTAAGCCACTGTTCAGCTACAGCTCTGCCATGACAGCCGGGAAATCCTGCAATAAGTCAATAAAACGGTAGCTTTTTTGGAAAAATGACTATGTAACTCCTGACGTTCAAATTCAGATGAATGAAACGCTGAATTCATAAGCATGAAAATGCAGCCTTGCTTAGTGGCTAAAGTTAGCAAACTTCACATGGAAATTGCTGTGAAACTGACACGACTGAGTCTGTTCGCTGACTTCATGACACTTCTCGACTTAGGTTACTATGACACCATAAAACAGTATTTATATCGGTTAACACAGCATAGCTCACTGGGAGACATGTATAAGAATGAATAGCATGCGTTGGGAAACACTTTAAAGGTGCTTTATGATGTGAATTTATTATGTGAAATAAATCGCGCGGAAATAAGCTCTGAGATTTGATCATTTACTTGTAACATAGCTTTAAAGACGGAAGGGACAAAATTTAACACATACATATAACATCTTGATATTAGGATAATGAAATTCCAGGTGATATTGAATCTTAAGTCACAATATCAATATTCTATTGACTTAATGTCCAACTCTCTCTCTAATGTCTAATCTACTGGAGTTTTGGGGTTAAACAGAACTTGCTGTGAGGCTTGTTCAGCAGTGAGTGCACAGAGAGCTGTTGTCATAATGAGCTTGTTGGACTACTCCTCTGGAGATGGCTCAGTGGGATGCATGCACGCAACAACTTCCCTCCCTCTCCTCCTCCCCCACCTTCCTAAATGGCCGGGAGCATCAGTGTGCACTGTCTCCTCTCAAGGTCTCGTGATGTGAGATGATACGAGAGAACCATGTGCACATTTCAGGGATGTGCTTTAATTTTCCTCTGACTCCTCTCTGCTGTAAGATCCTCTGGAGGCAGCATCCCGCTGACACTCCTAATGGAGCTTTGAGTTATTTGCACGTTTTGATTGCCATTACTTTTTCATGGCGGCGGCGTTATCCATGTGGATGTAGCGGAGCGGTGCGTGCTGTTGTTCTGCTGAGGGGAGCAGAATGAAGCATGATTTATTTACTGTATTCTGCTGCACCATGTGTTTTACATACAATAACCCATGATTTCTTCTCTTTGATGACACTGAGAAAGGAGCTGGAGCTTTGTAGGTGCTCACTGGGTCATTTTTAGCAGTAGGGGAGATACTGTAAGTAATGTATCTTGCTCTATTTTCCTGCTTGGGTCTCTGTAGACTAAACCTGAAAGCCTGCATCTCAGTCTCTCCATTACTTTCTGTTTGATCTGTCTTGCCTTCCATCGCCTGCCCTTTTTTTCTCTTCATCCTCCTCCCTGATTTACCTTTGCTCCAGTGTCTCTGCCTTCTCCTCTGTCTCCCTCTGTTTTATTGTCTTCCTCTTAACCTTTAATCCTTTAACTTCTCTCTTTCACCTTTTCCTTCCTCTCTCTTCTTCTTCTTCTTCTTCTTCTTCTGTTCCTCCTCTTCAGCTGTTCCTTGCTTGTTCTCCACAGCCTCGGGGTCTGAATCATTTATTACACAAGTCATTAAGGATGCAGTCCTTTGCACTCCGTCGTTTGCAGTCATATTTGGGTTCAGGAATAAACAGGGCAGACTGTAGCTAGGCCGACCAAGGGGGAAGTCACGTGGTGCAGGATGGTACATGTTGACTGAGAGGAGAAGGTCTCATCACCAGTGGTTGACCTGATAAACTTAAAGAAGCTGTGTGTGTGTGTGTGTGTGTGTCTCTCTCTCTCTCTCTCTCTCTGTGTGTGTGTGTGTGTGTATCTGCAGGAAGTTGTGAGACCAATCAAGGTAACTGTAGCTGACATGCATTGTTTTTCTTTCATCCATGCTCCAGATGAGTATGAAGTACATCACCTGGACTTAGAGAGCTTCATTGAAAATGCTATATGCATAATAGTAGTTATTTTCATCACTGATTAATCAACAGATTATTTTCATGATTACATAAATTGTTTGGTCTCTGAAATGTTGGCAGGAAAAATGGGCCATTAAGAGAGAGTCCAAGAAAACCAGAAGATATTCACATTTTTTAAAATGATTTAAAGAGACTGATCTATTATCAGGATTGTTAGCAGGTAATTTTCTATCAATCTGTGAACCGTTTCAGCTCTAATATCCACTCCAAAAAACAACACAGCCTGAATTAAAGTAAAGCCCATTATTAGGCGATATTATAGTAATGACGTGTGTGAGACAGTTTTGTGATATAATGTTGATTTTGGTATTGTTATTATAAGCTTAGTGTTATTGTTTGTTGACTTCAAGTCATTTCATGATCATATTGTATGATTGTTAAATTAGCTCTAGCTTTGTTTATCTGTATTGATACTGTTAAATTAATTAACTGAGAAATACATAATCAAGTAATTTAACTAACAAAACTGCTTAACAGTGAAACAGACTTCATTGTCTTTGACAGCAATTTATTGAATTTACTTGTATTATATTATGCATATATTAATATATGTGCATTATTATTATAAGTTAATTATATCTTTGTTAATACTGTGACATTTATTTTAACCAGCGAATTGGCCAATCAATATGATGGTGAGAATTTTGAAAAGTCTGTTCAAAATGTTGGAATGAAGGTTTACAGAAATGTTTTGAAAGATCTGTTGAGGATATTAGCCGTAGTCTGGGTCTGAGAATCCTAATCAGGATTATTGCCAAGTAGCTTTTCACATACGAGGAATGTCTAGCAGTTTACTGTGGTGTTTTTGTTTTCCCCTCTGAGATGTTGTCGTCTCCGGACTTCATTTCTAGAGCTCGATGAGGAAATCAACTGGGCTGTTATTAGTTTATTGCAGATACATCATTATCGTCATCTGTGCATATAAAGGGAATAAGTAACAAAAAAAAACTGCAAATGCAAATAGTAAAAATGTCAAAAATATGTTTTGAGATCATTTAGAAACAGTCTATCTGTTACATAATTGCATAACGCCAGAAACCTCTGACAAGTGAATTCAACTGTATATATATATAATACATGAGGGCATTTTATCTGTGTACTGGCATTAACAGACGTAAGAATCTGCGCTTTATTCTCTGCTTGAGTGTTCAGTTTAAATCATGCAGGTAGATTTTTGAGCATCTCATGTGCTCACACCACTCACAACACCCCCATCTCCATTCACATCAAGTGTGTCCACAGACAAAACAAAGAGAGTATCGTACATTGGGTCATGCTACCATATGGTCCCATCAAAATTGTTTTTTATTTCTGCTGCTGTGTAGGAGGCACATCTGTCGTGCACAGAGATTTGGTTTCAAGTGTGAGCGTGAGCCCGGCAAGATGTGTCACCATGTAGGCAGCGCTCTTCCTCCCAAAAACCCTCACCATGTCTGACGCTCCATGCTCTCTGCTTCTCTCTGCTTCTCTCTGCTCTGTCATTCAGGCAAAATTGCAGTCGAGAAACTTTGGCATAAATGCCGTACACACCCACGCTTGGCTACAGAGACGTTGTGATTACTTCTCTTGTTATACATGTGATGTTATAGTGCAGCATCACCTCTCTATATATATCTCTATCGTGTGGTTTGATAACAAAATCAGGAGTGACTGACTCCTGCAGCAGTGACTGAAAAGGTCAAAACTGTGGGTTTCTAAGACATTTCAGCAGTTTTACGAGGTGATGCTGTCACCGGGGTGATTTTATTGACTGACATACTGCTCTAGTTCCAATAAAAGAGATGCACTGCACAAATATACAACAGGGACAATTTGACTGGTCCAGATCTTTTGATATGGCCTCATTTTAATGCACGGTGTCCCCATTTGACACCACAGTGACAAAGTGTCACAGTGAGGCCGTCTGTTCCAGCAGGGCGGCACGGTGACAAGGTTGACCATTTCATTGAATAACCGAAATTTTAGTCACGCATGGACATGCACGCATTACTGAACAGGGCTACCAGGAAGAGTTCTAGGGGCCCAAAGTGACAACTCTTAACATTTCTTGGTGGAAACTCGCAGTTAAATTAGGAATGTCCTGATCTAATATCTGCCAATCCAAGATTTGTTTTGGTTATTTAAGGTTTAGGTTGTTAAGGAAGAAATAATATTACCGGGCAACTTGGATTGAATCAGTGGAACCAAACAATCATTTCTGAGTGGATGTTGGCTGCACAACCAGTAGGATCTCTGTGTCTCCAGAGCAGATTTCCACAGACAAATGCTGATATAATGTAACTCCAGTCATGTTCCTCCGTCAGTCTCCCACCCGTCTGGAGTACCCTTGTGCAAGACAGTAAATCCCTACCAGCTCTAGTGGTGCTGCTCTGTAGCTGTGAAGATTCTTCATTATTCATGGAGCTCATGTTCTTTCTTAACTTCAGATGAGCGTGAGGCGGTTCAGAAGAAGACCTTCACTAAATGGGTCAACTCGATCCTGTCCCGGGTCGGCTGTCGCATATCTGACCTCTACCTGGACCTACGGGATGGACGCATGCTCATTAAACTGCTGGAGGTGCTGTCCGGTGAACGACTGGTAAAAGACTTCTCTGTTGCACCTCACATTTTGTTATTTTCCCTTTTTATATTCTTTGTATTATTCCTTACCCTCTTGTGGTCACTCCTCTGTTTATAATTTTCTCCTTTCTAAGTTCTGTCTGTTTTTTTCTCCGCCCTGTCTGTAGCCGAAACCCACCAAGGGTCGGATGCGTATCCACTGTTTGGAGAATGTGGACAAGGCTCTGCAGTTTCTCAAAGAACAGAGGGTCCACCTGGAGAACATGGGCTCCCACGACATTGTCGATGGCAACCATCGCCTCATCCTCGGCCTCATCTGGACCATCATCCTGCGTTTCCAGGTGAACTCAGGAACCTGAACCCCCATTTTTTTTTATCTTTCTTTACTTACCTTTGTGTTGATTTGGCTTCTATTCCCTTTCAACTTTTTACATCAGGATGCTGACATCAAAGCATAAAGATGTTAAACTTTGCAATATATATCATGACCAATCCTTCAACTATGTCCCTCATCATAGTAAAATAAATATAAGATGGGACTTTATTAATGCCAAGAGGGGAAATTTAAATAGAAACAGATTGAGAACTCTTTATACATACAGCAAAATAAAGTAAATGACAATCTATAAGCTATATATTAGAACATACACATGATATGATTTGTGCATTGTGTAGGAAGCTGTGCAAATATACACAATTAGGAACATCCAGCTAAAACTAATGCAGTCTAATACACCAGTCCTGTAATAAATCCTCCTTCATGAAGGTTAATATGATCAGTTTTTGTTGAAACTGAGGTGTAGAATCACCTCTTACTTTATGACTGTGCTGACATTGACGTAAGAGCACTGTTAATGAAATCAAAGTATGGATCTGCTTCACATGCATTATTGCCTTAATTACATTATAATCACATTTGCATTTGCATTTAAATGCGACCGTACTATACAACCTGCTGTGTTTCATTAGACAAGTCTCTGACTGTTAATTGTTTATTCTCACTTGCGTCTGTGAGCATGTAGCACAGAAACACTTTCAGCTGGCAGCTTTGGGATGTTCTTTTTTTTTTTTTTTTTTTTTTTGACTTTTTTCTTTTTCCTCGAACGAGATGCCTTCAGGTTCCAGCCATTATTATCTGCTGTTAGCAGCACACCCAGAACATCAGAACATGTCTGTTTGACTCTTTTATCTTCTTGGAGGGGGCAGATATTTATTTTTAATTTGACAGCAACACTGTTATTTTTAGACACGTTAGTTCAAACAATATGGCCTGCTGCATTATTCAGACTTTAAAAAGAAAAAAAAAAATGAAACAGGAAAGAAAGGAGTTTACTCAGTCCTGTCTGTATCTTTTCAGTCTGCATAAACCAAGGAGAACTGGCTAAATTTAGCCCTCTCTCAGGGCCTGTCTCTCAGATCACATCACTGCTCTAATTACTGGCCCACTGTGTGGGAAAATAAGAACTTCAATAATTACCACCCCTCTTCCTATCAATTAGACTTTGGGTTTAAATTTGTTAAATTCCAGCCTCTTTATAACATTGATGATTTATCACTTGAGATTTGTTTTGTTTTGCACAAATAAAAACCTCCCAGTTTTACTTCCAGATTTGATAAATGATGTATTTCAAACGGATATTTGTGCCACTCTGCCAACATGTTCCCCCACTGGTGCGTCCTATTAGCGACATGTTACTATCAGTTAGGTTTTTGTTCTCAGCTGCGACTTGTTCTCGTTTGATTTCAAACCTCACAGCCATTAGTTCAACTTCATTATTTACCATCCAGCTGTGCTTGTTGTTCTTCTTCATCAGATCCAGGACATTATTGTGGAAACGGGCCAGGCGGACCAGAAGGAGACGCGCTCAGCCAAGGACGCTCTTCTTCTGTGGTGTCAGATGAAAACTGCAGGGTTAGTGGGATGTGTGACCTTTAGCATAACCAAGCTGTCATAAGGACCCTCTGGGAAATAGTATGTGATTGTGAATCCAGTCCTGTGCACATCTTTTAATAGAAAAAAATGTCTTTAGAGTACTGCAATTTTTTTACTTATTTAATTTGTCGTGTAAAGCATCTTTCAGTATCCGGAAAAGAAACTATTTTTAGTATTATTATTATTAGTGTTGTTGTTGTTATTATTATTATTACTATCATTAGTATTAATTTTTTTTATCAGTTTTATAGTTAAAATTTTATTTATTTATTAATTTCATTTTGATAAAAAATTTAAAATCCACTGTGCAAATTGCAAATTAATGAAGTACTCTAACCCAAGTAATAGTAGCAATACCACAGTGTAGAAATACTGCGGCACAAGTAAAAGTAAATTAAAATACCAATGGTAAAAGTACCTATTATGCAGAATCCAATTTTAAGACTAATCTAAATCATAATTTATGTGTATATTTATAATTTGTACTATTAATTAGAATCTGCAAAAAGTACAATGTCTGCCCCTGAAGTGTAGTGGAGTTAAAAAACTTCATGTGCTTGGGGCTGAAGCTGCAGCAATAAGTGGTGCATAATTACATGTTGAGGCACAGAACAAATCCCAGACATTGATTTAAAGCAGGAGCTCCTCAGCAATGTCCCTTACGCTCAGTGAGTGACGTCCCCTGGCTGCTGTTTTGCAGATATCCCAATGTCAACATCACAAACTTCACCACCAGCTGGAAAGACGGCATGGCCTTCAACGCTCTCATACACAAACACCGGTAAGGGGAGATGAATGACCAAATCCACTCTCACCAACTCTGAAATGTAAACACGCACAAAACCCGTCTGCTCAGTGTCTCTCCTCCACGTTCTCCTTCATCTCTTTGACTGCCTCGTTGTCTGATTTTTCCACTTTTGCTGCCTCCATATTTCTCTCCCAGGCCAGATCTGGTGGACTATAACAGTCTAAAGAGGTCCAACCCGACCCACAACCTCCAAAACGCCTTCAATGTGGCAGAGCAGAAGCTTGGCGTGACCAAACTGTTAGACCCAGAAGGCGAGTGACCGACGGAGGCTGTGCCTTCGTGTGGAAATAAATGTTTATGAGCTTTAAGCCTGGTGGAAATGTGATGTCTCTGGCTTGGCTGTGACGGATTCGTCTTCCCCTTTGTTTTGTAGATGTGTTCACAGAGAACCCAGATGAGAAGTCCATCATCACGTACGTCGTGGCATTTTACCACTACTTCTCGAAGATGAAGCAGCTCGCTGTCGAGGGCAAGAGAGTTGGAAAGGTGAGATGGAAACATGACGCACACTCGTTGATGTGATGTGTTTGGTTGCCTGTTTTTTCCTGATTGTTTTTTGACCTCCTTCTTCCAGGTTCTGGATCACGCCATCGAGACAGAGAAGATGATTGATAAGTACGAGACGCTGGCGTCAGACCTGCTGACGTGGATCGAGCAGACCATCATCGTGCTGAACAACCGAAAACTTGCCAACTCTCTGGCTGGAGTCCAGCAGCAGCTTCAGGCCTTCAACACCTACCGCACTGTAGAGAAGCCGCCCAAGTGAGTCAAGCCAGGACAACTCCCCACGGCTCATTCTAATCTAGTCTGTGCTATTAGTGTTTCATTTTCTTTTTCATTTTCTTAAATTGAAAAACAAACACACACACACACACACACACACACACACACACACACACACACACACACACACACGCACACACACGCACGCGCACACACACAACAGAAACAGGAAAAGATAAATAAACAAAACACCTACACTTTTTTCAACACATCCTCTGCATTTATAAGATTTCCTAGTTTTCCTTAAACTACACGTAACTCTTTCAGTATGTGGCACTGAATAACATCTCATTAAAACACACTGATATAGAAGGGGCAAACATAGGCTGCTGTTATAGCTATTGTTAACAAAGTCTGTTATTAGTAAGAGCTGTAAGTAATGTAGTGGGTGTGTTTGGGTCTGTTCAATCCAGCCACTGTTTTCATTTTCAGTAAATTATTGAACACGTATTTCCATTCTCAGTGCAACTCTTTTTTTTAAATTTATTTGCGAACTGGCCTCTGCAGAGAACCCTGTGGCTAACGTTCACCTTTGTGTGTGACTCGTCTTTGTTTTCTTTCAGGTTTCAGGAGAAGGGTAACCTCGAGGTGCTGCTGTTCACCATCCAGAGTCGAATGAGGGCCAACAACCAGAGGGTCTACACGCCTAAAGAGGGAGCCCTGGTCGCAGATATCAACCGGGTGAGATGCCTGGGCAGCACACAGAAACAACATGGGTGTTTTATTAAAAAATGTCTCTGGCTGTCAACCCATTACTGGGAGGATTGTCTCTGCAAACGTCTGAGGTTTGAAGCTCAGACATGCAGCATGGCTCAGTTAGATGGACAAAATTAATTCATTTAGCAGAGTGCAATCCTGAGGCAGCAATTAAAGCACAGATGAATTGAATTATACAGGTAATACTATAGACTACTTTACTAAACTGTACAATAAAAGCCATCTCATGAAGAGAATAACGGTCTGACAGAACTGCAGGCACAAGAAAATAATAAGGTAGAATATATTCACAGTTACTGACATTAGAGCTGAAACAATTAGTCCAGTAATGGATTAGTGGATGACTGTAATGTCCATTATTACTTATTAATAAGTAATAATTTGATATCAGTTATCATGCAATATTTCTTTAGATGTGAGAATTTGCTGATTAATCAAAATGAATAAATGATCCACAGATAAATCAAGTCAAATCAAAAATGATGGTCAGTTACGTTCTCACTCGTGAGGTCCTTCAGATGGGATGATGCTATTGCTGCTGTATGTTATGGCGACTAACTATGACAAATAAAAACTGCGAATCCTAATGATCCATCTCATCATCTGCGTGCAGGCCTGGGAGCGTCTGGAGAGGGCGGAGCACGAGCGGGAGCGCGTCCTGAGAGACGAGCTGATCAGACAGGAGAAGCTGGAGCAGATGGCGAGGAGATTCGACAGGAAGGCTGCCATGAGGGAGACGTGGCTCATGGAGAACCAGAGACTGGTGGCCCAGGTAAACTGTCAACAACACAACTATGGACATTACACGATGTTATTATCTGATATTTATTCAGAGGTCACTCTTGAAGAAGATGTTGATCTCAGTGAGGCTGACTAATTCAATAAAAATTTACATGTATAAAACATGCATAAGTATAGATTTTCTACACTATTTGCATTGAATAATTGGTTGTTTGTGCACCTTGATTATTGATGATGGGAGGTAAACAGCAGAAACAGATTGCCTTGAAAAAAAAACCCAGGAACTTTCTGAGCACAAAAAGTTAGTTAGAGGAAGTGAGCAGAAGTTGTGAAGTAGCTGTTAAAAATGTGGATCGTGGATACTCAGAATGGACACATTCAGGGATTATTATGACCAACAGATTTATATGCAAGCAGTATTTTTATGTAGCTGGACCAGGTGGAGCTTATTTTACCTACTTTATATCCTAGGTAGTTTCATCTATAACAGTGCACCATATTATATACTACTGAACTGAACTACTCTCCGCTCTCTCCTCCTCAGGATAACTTTGGCTACGATCTGCCGGCTGTGGAGGCGGCCAAGAAGAAGCACGATGCCATCGAGACAGACATCGCGGCGTACGAGGAACGTGTTCAGGCCCTGGTGGACATCTCAAAGGAGCTGGAGTCGGAGCGTTACCATGACGCCAAACGGATCGACGCGCGGAAAGACAACATCCTGCGTCTGTGGGACTACCTGCAGGAGCTGCTGAAGGCTCGTAGGGCGCGTCTGGATAAGAACCTGACCCTGCAGAGGATCTTCCAGGAGATGCTGCACATCATCAGCTGGATGGATGACATGAAGGTACAGAACGTGAAGCAATATTCATAAACTAATTCCAAACATTTTCCAGAGACTTAACCGATCATATTGATTGATTTCTATTCACAGGCCCGGCTGCTGTCTCCAGACTTTGGGAAACACTTGCTGGAAGTTGAAGACCTGTTGCAGAAACACGCCTTGGTAGAGAACGACATTGCTCTGCAGGCAGACAGGGTCCACAGCGCCAGTGCTGCTGCTCTCAAGTTTGCAAATGGAGATAGTAAGTGCAGTAGCTCATCTTTCCCCTTGGCAAGAATATTTATTATAAATGTGCTGGTTTTATTAGGGATGATAACACTAAATGTGCAGGCCAAGGAACATAACCAGAGCTGGGTCTCAAACCTCAATACTTTTTGAGTACTGGCTAAAATGTGTCTGTAGGATCAAGTATGGCAACCTGCTGTGTACCAAAAGTCAGCCTCATATCTTTTGTATGATGTCTCCTGATAAAAGTAAAACCTTCTGTTTTATCTTGTACATTTTTTTTATGATATAATGATAGTTTTTCTTAACCTGCATATAAAATTAGTGTGAGTTTTTAATTTGGCTTTTCATGTGTCGTTTGTTCTCACCATGGTCACCTGTTGTTTCTCTAATTGAAAATATTAGTAAACTGTGTGGTTTGGAGACGCTACAATGACTATAGATATGGATGTGAGTGTCTGTGTGAATTGATTGACAGATTGATAAACTGTCATTCTAACCAGTACACGCCCTGCTACAGACTACAGCATCCCAGAACCCTGAGAAGACATAAGCAAGTAGAGAAAATGGAATGAGTAAAGATAGAGGATGTAACGGTTCTGTTGTCTCTTTCCCTCCAGGCTATAAGCCATGTGATCCCCAGGTGATCCGGGACAGGGTGCAGCACCTGGACCTGTGCTACCAGGAGCTTTGTGCCCTGGCGGCCCAGCGAAGGGCTCACCTGGAGCAGTCCCGCCGCTTCTGGTACTTCCTGTGGGAGGTGACGGAGCTGGAGAGTTGGATCAGGGAGAAGGAGCACATTTTCTCCTCTCTGGATTATGGCAAGGACCTGACGAGCGTGCTGGTGCTCCAGAGCAAACACAGCGCCTTCGAGGACGAGCTCGGAGCCCGCCGCGCCAACCTCGAACAGGTCCTTGCAGAGGGAGAAAAGATGATCCAGGCCAAGCACTTCGGCTCCCCGAAGGTTCAAGAATGCATGGATGACATCAGGAGGCAGTGGCAGCAGCTGGAGGAACTGGCAGCATTTCGGAAACAGAACCTGCAGGACACTCAGAGGTTCTTCCAGTTTCAGGGAGATGCTGACGAACTCAAGGCCTGGCTGCTGGACGCCAAGAGGCTGATGAGCAGCGAAGACGTAGGTCACGACGAGTACACCACGCAGCGGCTACTCAAGAAGCTCAACGACCTGAGGAATGAAGCAATCAAGAACGGAGCCACTATCGACGCGCTATCGAAACAGGCCAATGCGCTGCCAGAGGAGTTACAAAATACCCCTGATATCCAGAGACGTCTGAAAGACATCAAGGACCTGTACATGGAGCTCATGTCTCTGGCCGACCTGAGACAGAAGAAGCTCGATGACACTATGGCCCTGTACACCATCTTCAGTGAGACGGACGCCTGTGAGCTCTGGATGGGCCAGAAGGAGACTTGGTTGGTGGACTTAGAGGTGCCGGAGAAGCTGGAGGATCTGGAAGTGGTACAGAACAGGTACACAGAAGAAATTATATTATTATGCACTCCCGAAGTGTTATTATTATTTTTTTATACATGTCTAGATTTAATATAGCAATTCACAAAAATCTGGTTTAGTAACAATGTCTTCTTTATTACAGGTTGAGCATTCTGGCTCAAGATATGGCAAATGTTCAGTCGAGAGTTGATGATGTCAACAAAGCTGTGAAACAGCTTGAGGACAGCAGACACCCTCGCACCAAAGAGGTCAAGGAATGTCAGACACGACTGAATAAGAGGTGATTTAAATATTATTTCTACACTACATGTCTTAATTTATACCGTTCAACTATGTGTCAACATTTCTAGTAAATCATTTAGTGTTATACCTAAAAGTAAACACAAAATTTATATTTTTGTGTCTTATCTTTACCTTGGAGCAGAAGAAAGTTTTAGTTTATTTATTATTTTACAGGTCTGTTACTTCTGAATAATTTTCTAATAATTTCGAAGACGTTTCCTTGAAGGCAGTGTGTAATGAAGAACTAATCATAAGTAGAGTAGAGACAGTGTTCAATTGCTACGCTCCCATTTAATTCTGATTAATTCCTAGCAAGCTGGAGTCTTTTAGTGAGTGAACAGCAAGTGAGCTGAACATGCAGAAAATGGGATTTGTCTAAAGGGAAGCATACGATTCAACATATGTGTAAAATTATGTTTCCAATTATAATTGAGTAATAGATTCAGGTTTTTATTGATTTTACATAGAGCAGTTCTTTTAAGGAAATTTGCATTTTCCCTTTATTACATATGGTATGTTTTTCTCCACCAAACATCAAGAAGCATCCCCTGAGATAACAATAGAGTGATTTAAACATGCAATAAATGATTCTTCCTCAGGTGGGAAGCCTTCAAGGCCATGGTGGAGGACAAGAAGAGGAAAGTGGATTCTGCTGTTAGTCTGCACAACTACGGGCTGGAGTGTGACGAGACAGAGACCTGGATCAAAGACAAGACGCGGGTGATCGAGTCCACGCAGGATTTGGGCAACGACCTGGCGGCCGTCATGACCATCCAGAGGAAACTGTTTGGCATGGAGAGAGATTTAGCCGCCATCGACACCAAGCTCACCTTCCTGAGGAAAGAAGCCGACCAGCTGGCCAAGGATCACCCGGAGAACGCAGCCGATATCTTGGCCCGCAGAGGAGAACTGGACGCAGCCTGGGACACACTGAGAAAGACCCTGAAAGACAGGGAGGACTCTTTGGGTGAGGTCAGCAAGTTGCAGACCTTCCTCCAAGACATGGATGACTTCCAGTCCTGGCTTTTCAAGACCCAGAAGGCTGTGGCTTCAGAGGAAATGCCCGCCACGCTGCCAGAGGCCGAGGAGCAGCTCAGCCTCCACGACGCAGTGCGTGAAGACATTGGCAACCACGAGGAGGACTTTCACCGTGTGAGGGACACTGGTGCTCAGGTCATGCAGGGTCAGGAGGACGATCCTCAGTACCAGCAGCTGGAGCAGAGGCTGAAGGGCATGGACCGTGGTTGGGTCGAACTGCAGAAGATGTGGGACAGTCGCAAGAACTTCCTGGATCAGGGTGTGGGCTTCCAGCAGTTCATGAGGGATGGCAAGGCTGTAGAGGCCATCCTCAATAACCAGGTACTGTACCGCTGTGTGTATTTGGAGTAGGACTATGTAAATTATAACTTGTCTTTAAATAGAAGATTTATCAGTTACCACAGAGTTAGCTTGTTAATGATGGGGTTAGTGATGCTACAGGTACTTAAAAGAATGTGGAATAGAAGAATGCAGCATAGTCAGTTTCCACACTGCATGTTTGTCATATAACGTAGTCAGCTGGCTGTGTGTTTCAAGGCTGTTTGCCTTTTTCTTTCTTAGTCTTTGTTCATTTTTGTTTTTGTCTGACATGTTGTTGGCTGCTCTGCTGCAGGAGTACACCTTGGCCCACATAGACAAGCCTGACACATTGGCTGGGGCAGAGAAGGCTTTGAAGAAGCATGAGGACTTTGTGAGCACCATGGAGGCCAATGAGGACAAGATTGACGGCGCTCTGCAGGGTGGACAGCGGCTGGTGGACAGTAATAACCTGTACTCTGGGAAAGTTCAGGAGAAAATGGACTCCATCAAAGACAGGTCAGTTGTTATTTGGTCAATGTGACTTCAGGTGTCATCAAACCGATCTTGATATTGTAGTAGCTTGGAGCCATCTTTGAGATAATATCAACCATATTTGCTATTGATCATGAACAGATCTTCACTTTTTTGTCTCATCATCTTCAAACTGTTCTGGTCTCAGACCCTGGGCCAGAATTTATCAAACTTACAGTATAAAAATGACATTACATACAATGAAATCTTTTAAAATGGGCTACATCTACCCTATTCTGAAATCTGAATAGTTTTACCTAACATATGATTCATCATGATCAATCAGTCAATCAACCGATCCTTCTTTATTTGTTTAGCACCTTTCATACAGGTTAGTGCAATTCAAAGTATTTTACAGATGACTGACAATTAAAAACAATGAAATTAAATAATAAAACCATTAAAATAGATGAAAAATATATTTAAAAACGATAAAAGACTAAACTAATAAAATAGGTAAGAGGGAGTAAAACATGTTAAACATATATAATTAATTAATTATACATATACAATTAAATAAAATAGTATTGGCCATAAAACAAAACCTTAATTTAATAAAAAGCTAGACTAAAGAAGCAGGTTTTAAATTTACTTTTAAAGATATCAGTGTCTCTCAGTACAACAAAATTTTTGTTCAATCCCTCTTAGAAGGTGCTGACCTCTGTTTTTGCACTGCAGTCATTTGCTATCTAGTCTTTACCAACTTAAGAGACCTGGACCTTTTATTTTTATCATCATTTAAAGTTGAAACCTCACTTTCAGCAGTTTGATAAATACAGTACAGGCTCCGTTCTCCTGTGGAAAAATAGATCTGTTCATTCTCACCCATTTTTCTTCAACCGGCTCACCAGTGAAACAGCTTTCTTATCACTGCAACATTAGTGTCAACAAGAGGCGGTAGAGAGGGCACGGGAGCTTTTCCCATTAACTCCCACAATTCACTTGGTAGACAGGCGCCCGCAATAATGGATATTGATCTTGAAGTGAGAGCGATTGGTCGTTGTGTAGCAGAGAAACAGATGACTGTTTTGGGTTGGTGTGTCAGGTATTTTTTTGTGCGTGGCGGAGGAGCTCGTACGGATGCACTCGCCTTGGATTCACACCTTGTTTGTCTGAGTTATGTCACTGAGGGAGGTGTTGGAGGAAAAGAAAGACACGCTCAGTCTGCAGATGTGTTTTTAATGTGTTTCCTTGGTTTTGTGTTTGACCTTCAGGCATGACAAGAATAACAGAAGAGCCCAGGAGGTGTCCGAAAAGCTCCGGGATAACCGCGACCTGCAGCACTTCCTGCAAAACACTCAGGATGTGAGTTCACCGTCAGTTTACTGATCATGCAATCGCTGGCTAACATCAATTAATTATTAGCTTAATTATTCCTTCACTGAGACGTGACATCACAGTGATTTTGTCTCTTTTTTATCTCTTGATCATTATAGTCAAATTGCCAAACATTGTGTTGTTATTGCTGTGCTTGACGATACCTTCTCGGACTAAATGTGTATCTTCCCTATTTGGGATAGGGGTGCAATTGGGTAATTGCTAAATGCTCAAAAGATAAAGAAGTAAATCCTGCGTGTGTAAAGTCACCTCTGCGCAAACTGAAAATACCAATGTTAAGGTGACTTTCCAAAGTATTGTATTTATTCCTGCATGTATCCCAGCTGTTCAGCTTCCCACACCCGGGGCCCCCGGATTTGAATCTGCTTTAATATTCACACTTCCTCTCCATGCTGCAGCTGACTGTGTGGATCAATGAGAAGATGCTGACGGCTCAGGACACGTCATACGATGAGGCCAGGAACCTCCACAGCAAGTGGCTAAAACATCAGGCCTTCATGGCCGAGCTGGCCTCCAACAAGGACTGGCTCAACAACGTAGACCAGGTCTGTAAGGACCGAGTATCTATTATGATGTCGACAGAGCTACCCATTGTCTTTATATTGGCTTTGAACAGCAACTAATTAATGCATGTTGTTTACCTACACAATGCATACTGTTGCTAGTAAACTAAATAGTATCTTAGTAGATGCCTATTAGGGATCCTGCATTAGGTCTCATGTATTTAATGTTCAGCAGTAAGTGTTACTTAAAGGGTAGGTTCACCCAAAATAACAACAGCAATAAAACATCACTCATGTTTAGTGGCTAATAGGATAATACAAAGAGTGGCTTACTGGTGGCTGTACTAAAAGGTTAGTGCGCACTAAAGAATAATAATTGGAGTAAAAGTAAATATAAGAATTGAAAGATGATTTAAGAAAATGTGTATATGCTTTTTTTTTCAGGTTTTGAAACACTCTCTCAGATAAATTCAAATTCAGCAACACCTCTTTTCAGAGTCAGTGTCCCAGTTATAACTAACAGAAAAATGAGGTCTATGGGTTATTTTGTAATTTGGGTAAACAAATCATTTAGATCAGGAGCTTGTATTCTCTTTTTCATAAAACCTTTTATCACAACATTTAAACAAATGATTGCATTTATGAGGCATATTATAGTAGCATTTAGCTTCACATTCATCCTTATTTATAAGATCAGATAAAACGCCATTTAACATTTTCTCCCTAATACAACAGCATTATCTTCTTCTTCTCTGTGTGTTTTTGTGGACACAGGAGGGTCAGGAGCTCATGGAGTCCAAGCCTGAGTTTGAGCCTATTGTGAAGGAGCGCCTGGCCAAGCTCCACGAGCTGTGGGACAAACTGGAGTCCACCACTCAGGAGAAGGCCCGGCTGCTGTTTGATGCCAACCGTTCCGAGCTCTTCGACCAGAGCCTGGCTGACATGAAGAAGTGGCTCGGTGAGCTGCAGCAGCAGCTACAGAGCGGAGACGAGGACGTTAAAGACCTGACTAATGCCAACATCCTGCTCAAGAAGCATCAGGTCTGTGTCCTTGTAGCATTATACTGGATAAACCTGAGATTTGAATGCTTTCCCTGACTGCAATTCCTCTTGATACGTGCAGGTCTTAAATCATATTTGGTTGAATCTCACCATGGGAGTGAATACATTATAATTTTAGTTCTACTGTGTGTAATCTTTTAGGATTAACTTTGAGTGAGTGAGCATCTGTTTATGTTTACTGTTTGCACCTGAACATAACAAACAAATATCTCAAATCTAAATCTTAATGTGAAAGAAAAAGAAGAACACCAAAAGTTAGACTGAATTATGTTACAGTCAGTATTGCACGGGTAAAACTTTGTAGCTGAAAACAGTGGCGAAACTCCATTTCACACATAAAAAGGCAAAACAATAACTAACTAGCTAACTAACTTTTGGTGGGTTTACCCTCCACTACATCCTGATTATGCTTTCGGATAGGCTATTCATCTTTTTCACTAATCATATCTCCACGTGCCAGATGACAGAGAACCAGGTGCGTGGACGGGCAAGGGAGCTGGAGGAGCTCCAGGAGGCCGTGAGGCAGCACGGCGGAGGCAGGGAGGACCAGCCGGAGCTGGAGGCCGAGCAACAGGCCCTGCAAAGGGACTTCCAGCAGCTCCTCACGCCACTGGCCGAGCGCAAGGGCAAGCTAGAGGCCGCCAAGGCTGTCCACCAGTTCTACAGAGACCTGGCCGATGAGCTTGTAAGCATGGATCCAATTTCAGAGCAAAATTAAAGTGTGGGAACTCCCGGCTCTCACAAATGATTGATACCACAAAATTAAAATAAAGTGTTAGATTTTCAAGGAGCTGGATTAATGTTTGCTTTTGAATGACAGCAACCTAACAGCTTTTTGGACTTAAATTCTAGAAATATTGAAGCCTGAAGCCCCCAAAATGATAACTTATTAATTTGGAAATGAAGTTTTCAATTACAGTATGTACACTCAGTATGCAAGATAGTAACACCACCAGCTCTCTCAATGAAATTGACTCTCCAGGTGAATCTGGGTAAAAGCTTTAATCCCTTATTGGGTTTCACTACCTAAATCCATTTTAGTCAGGTGGAGGAGACGGCTTAAAGAAAGATTTCTACTGTTTGAGTTATTGGAGACATTTTGTAAAGGGGTAAGAAATTCAGTATAATTGAGACGTTCCTAACATTTTTTATACTGGTGTACAACAGAGATCTGTAAGGCCGCTTTCTCATAAGAGACCAGTGTCTACATTTTTCTTTCTTTATCATCATAGTCTTCTTTTTCTTCTTCTTCATCATCATCATCATCATCATCATCATCATCTTCTTCTTCTTCTTCTTGTCTCTCTCAGCTCTGGATAGAGGAGAGGATGCCCCTGGCAATGTCAGAAGAGCATGGACACAATCTTCAGACTGTGCAAATGCTGCTGAATAAGAACCAGGTTTGGATTTCTCTGTAGAAAAAAGAAAAAGTTGTGGTTCATTGTAAATCGCAACTTTTGGTGTTGCATTTCATTTGTTTTTCTTGATTAATCGGTTAATCGATCGGCCCATAACATGTCAGAAAATAGTGAGAAAATGGCCTTCACAGTTTCCTGGAGCCCAAGGTGAAATCTTCAAATTGCTTATAAACACTCCAAAATCCATAGAGCTTCAGTTTACAATATGAGAACATAAAGCAGCAAAGGAGTATGGAAAAAGCTTTAAGAAGCTGGAGCGAGAGAATGTAGGGCATTTTTCCTAGGTTTGTTTTTTTCTGCTTGAAAAACGACGAACACCATTATCAGTTATTGAATAGCTGCAGAATATTTCTCTGTTGATCGACTAATCAACTAGTTGACTTACTGTTTCAGCTCTAGCTACTGTACTTTATTGTTTCAGTGAATTTCCTGTATAACGTGCAGCAAACTAATTTTCAACTGTGAGTCAAGATAGCACCCACTACTTGTATACAGAGAAAACAGCATATTACTAAGATACCGACACTATATGTTTCATGAATTGTCAGAGAACCCCTTTAACAATTAAGGAGGGAATTTCATGCAAATCGGACACTATCATATTGTCTCCATTTTCTGTCCATCAGACATTACAGAGGGAGATCGAGGGCCACCAGCCTCGCGTGGATGAAGTACTTGAACGTGGAAGGAGGATGGCGGCCGCTGCCAACGCCGAGGGCAGACCGGAGGCAGACCGGATCACAGACCAGCTGAAGGAGCTGGAAGAGGCTTGGGCTCGGCTGCAGGACGAGATGGCTAAGCGCCGGGAGAGGCTCAACGGCTCCAACTTGGCCCAGCAGTACTACAATGATGCGGATGAGGCTGAAGCCTGGATTGGGGAGCAGGAGCTTTACATGATCGCCGATGAAAAGGCCAAGGTGAGGAGCAGTAACTGTACCAACGCGTGAGAGACAAGGGAGCAGGCGTATTAACTCAGGGATGTGGCCGCAGATGTCTGAAAAACAGATCTTATTATCTAAATCAAAACAAGGCATATCATGTTGTGCAAATAGCAAGTGGCACTGCATGCATTAACATGATTACATGGTTAGGGCTCTCTTCAATTAAGTTGACACGCTTTTTATAATTGGCAGCCTCTATTGAGAGCTCATTTGGAGTATTTTGCTTTGCTTTGACGTGCAGCCTCCTGTCTCTTTTTCACATAATTTCCTCGCTATTTTTCATCCACCTCGTCCTGATTGTTCCTCATCCTCTTCTTCTTCCACCTCTCTAGGATGAGCAAAGTGCTATGCTGATGCTGAAGCGCCACACGATCCTCAAGCAGGCTGTGGACGACTATGCGGACTCCATTCAGAAGCTGGCTGACCGTGCCCAAAAGATGTTTGCAGAGGACCATCCCGATGGGTGTGTGCTTTTTAAGTTTAATGTACACACTGAAAAATCACATCTGAACTCGCAGCAAAAGATGCTAATTCCCTCTTGTTGTCCCAGTCAGTTGTGGTTTTGGTTGATACGAGAGACAAGCATGTAAAGTGTGATAATTCCTGTGTCCTAATCACAACGCCTCATCTAGAGTAAACCGAAATCCAATCTCTTTGCCCTCTTTCTCATTTTCTCAATTTTCCCTGCATCTCATTATCCTCCATCCTCTCCCTTTACCTTGTAAACCTGCAGCGAGGAGATCATCAGGCGACAGGGCCAGGTGGATAAGCAGTATGCAGGGCTGAAAGAGCTGGCGGAGGACCGCAGGAGGAAGCTCGATCACACCTATCACCACTTCCTGCTTAGCCGAGAGGTGGAAGACCTGGAACACTGGATCGCAGAGAGAGACGTGGTGGCCTCCTCTCAGGAGATGGGCCAGGACCTGGATCACGTCACGGTATTAAACACACGAACACATGCACATACATTCGAGCATACTTTATAAGAGCACACACAGGACAATGTGTTCAGATCCATTTTTATGTAGACCCGTTTCATGCTCAGTCTAATTTGGGAGATGGAGCTATTCTTGATCAGGTGAGTATGCTTGCTCACTAGAATTTCTATGTTTAAGGGAACTGAAAAATCATAACTACGAAGCAAATGATGAAAGCATCTCATAAATAACAAGAGAAAACCCCTAGATGCCTTTGCTGCTGTGTGGTTTTGCTGTTTTTGGTTTAAAGGGATCACAGACCATCTGGTTTGGTAAACACTTGAGCAAACACGTTTTGCGCAGTTTACAGATATCACATGATTTCTTAGCCATTTAAGTCAAAATTTGTTTTTTTTTCTTGCTACCATATGGCCTACCAACATGCTAATTGTCTTGTGCAGATTTAAGCCTAAAGGGAAATCTCAACTTTCAAACTCCAAAATACAAATTCTACATCTGTTGTTACCAGTTTTTTTTTTTAAACATCTATCTTTCCGCTTCAGCTTCTCAGGGATAAGTTTAGAGATTTCGCGCGGGAGACGGGGATGGTGGGACAGGAGCGAGTGGACTTTGTCAACCAGACGATAGACGAGCTGATCGAAGCCGGACACACCGAGGCAGCCGCCATGGCAGAATGGAAAGACGGCATCAATGACAGCTGGGCTGATCTGCTGGAGCTCATTGACACTCGTGCTCAGCTCCTCACAGCATCTTATGAACTGCTCAAGTAAGGAAAACAGTATTGATGTACCAGACCAAGAGCATGAAGATGGGCACTTATCTGGATTGATGCGATTTAAGTTTTTGTGTCTAATCCTGAAATGTGACATAATCTATCTAAAACAAGTTAGGATGATATTGATATCCAGAGTATTAGTGATGTGGCATGACTAATCAGAAAACATTTGGATACAATAACAATGTCACAAAGAATTAAACTTGAATATAATAACTACATTGATTACAGTAAGTAGGATGACAAATGTGATGATAATACACATGGAGCTAAAGATAGTGAGAGATCGATCTATTTCTCTCAGGTACTTTGATGATGGGAAGGAGTTGGTGGCTCAGATCCACGAGAAGCAGAAAGAGCTGCCCGATGACGTGGGAGAGGACTTCAGCAAAGCCGAGTCTTTCCACAGAATGCACGCCGCTTTTGAGAGAGATATCACCGCTCTAGGCAAACAGGTACAACGCAGGGGATCAGCCTTTTCACTCTGAGGAAAACAGCAGGCTGCGGCCAAGAGGGATACTTTGACGATTCACATGTAGAATCCTATAATATTTAGGCAACTGTGAGAAGTTTTCTCAAAGTATGAGAAGCTGTAAATGGGGCGTCCAGTACAGGGATTCTTACAGTTTTGTCAGCCTCTGAACCTATTCTGTCTTGGATGAGGGATTTTATACATTATAAAAATGAAAGCTGCAGTAATCAAGTAATTTTCATATTAACAGTGGGTCAAATGAATATATACATTGTGAAAGGGATCAACATTGTGGACGCACTCACAGATAATTAAGACCCCACTTTGAAGTTTCCCTCAGTTCTTTCACCTGATATAATCTTATAAGTGACACATATGGTAACATCGCTCTTGATATAGGGACATATATGCCATAAATATAATATAAGTATAATAAAGTATAAAAAGGACATTACTATCGTTTTTATGACTTTTTGATGCCTTTTTATGCCTTACTATACTATGTTGTTTTCATCTCTTACTATGTGATGATTTATTTTTGGGGAGGTCTGGTGGTGTAGTGGTTAGAACTGTTGCTTCATAATGAGGAAGTTAGTGGTTCAAATCCAGGATCTAACACACTATGTCGTTTTTATGATTTTTCATACCTTACTATACTATGACTTTTTTAGGCCTTTTTATGCCTTACTATTTTGTTTTCATCTGTTACCATACGATGACTTATTTGTGGGGAGGCTGGGTGGGGTAGAGGTTTAAACTATCGCCTTAAATTAAGAAGGTTAGCGGTTTGAATCCCGGGTCTGTCACTATGAGATTTGTCTCTATGTAGTTTTAATGCTATACTATACTGTGACGTTTTTTGACATTTTTATGCCTTATTATATTATGACATTTCTATGCCATACTATATTATGACATTTTTACACATTTTTATAACTTACTATACTATGACGTTTTTTGACATTTTTATGCCATACAATACTATGACGTTTTTTCCCATTTTATGCCTTAGTATATTATGACGTTTTTTCACATTTTTATGCCTTACTATACTGTGACGTTTTTGACTATGACGTTTTTGATATTTTTATGCCTTACTATACTGTGACGTTTTTGACTATGACGTTTTTGATATTTTTATGCCTTACTATACTGTGACGTTTTTGACTATGACGTTTTTGATATTTTTATGCCTTACTATACTGTGACGTTTTTGACTATGACGTTTTTGATATTTTTATGCCTTACTATACTGTGACGTTTTTGACTATGACGTTTTTGATATTTTTATGCCTTACTATACTGTGACGTTTTTGACTATGACGTTTTTGATATTTTTATGCCTTACTATACTATGACGTTTTCCAACATTTTTATACCATACTTTACTACATTTCTATGCCTTACTAAACTATGACGTTTTTGACATTTTTATGCCTTACTATACTGTGACGTTTTTGACTATGACGTTTTTGACATTTTTATGCCTTAATATACTATGATGTTTTTTGACATTTTTATGCCATACTATACTATGACGTTTTCCAACATTTTTATACCATACTATACTATGACGTTTTTTCACATTTCTATGCCGTATTATACTATGACATTTTTGACTATGACGTTTTTGACATTTTTATGCCTTACTATATTATGACATTTTTTCACATTTTTATACCATACTATACTATGACGTATTTTGACATTTTTATGCCATACTATCCTATGACGTTTTCCAACATTTTTATACCATACTATACTATGACGTATTTTGACATTTTTATGCCATACTATCCTATGACGTTTTCCAACATTTTTATACCATACTATACTATGACGTATTTTGACATTTTTATGCCATACTATCCTATGACGTTTTCCAACATTTTTATACCATACTATACTATGACGTATTTTGACATTTTTATGCCATACTATCCTATGACGTTTTCCAACATTTTTATACCATACTATACTATGACGTATTTTGACATTTTTATGCCATACTATCCTATGACGTTTTCCAACATTTTTATACCATACTATACTATGACGTATTTTGACATTTTTATGCCATACTATCCTATGACGTTTTCCAACATTTTTATACCATACTATACTATGACGTATTTTGACATTTTTATGCCATACTATCCTATGACGTTTTCCAACATTTTTATACCATACTATACTATGACGTATTTTGACATTTTTATGCCATACTATCCTATGACGTTTTCCAACATTTTTATACCATACTATACTATGACGTATTTTGACATTTTTATGCCATACTATCCTATGACGTTTTCCAACATTTTTATACCATACTATACTATGACGTATTTTGACATTTTTATGCCATACTATCCTATGACGTTTTCCAACATTTTTATACCATACTATACTATGACGTATTTTGACATTTTTATGCCATACTATCCTATGACGTTTTCCAACATTTTTATACCATACTATACTATGACGTATTTTGACATTTTTATGCCATACTATCCTATGACGTTTTCCAACATTTTTATACCATACTATACTATGACGTATTTTGACATTTTTATGCCATACTATCCTATGACGTTTTCCAACATTTTTATACCATACTATACTATGACGTATTTTGACATTTTTATGCCATACTATCCTATGACGTTTTCCAACATTTTTATACCATACTATACTATGACGTATTTTGACATTTTTATGCCATACTATCCTATGACGTTTTCCAACATTTTTATACCATACTATACTATGACGTATTTTGACATTTTTATGCCATACTATCCTATGACGTTTTCCAACATTTTTATACCATACTATACTATGACGTATTTTGACATTTTTATGCCATACTATCCTATGACGTTTTCCAACATTTTTATACCATACTATACTATGACGTATTTTGACATTTTTATGCCATACTATCCTATGACGTTTTCCAACATTTTTATACCATACTATACTATGACGTATTTTGACATTTTTATGCCATACTATCCTATGACGTTTTCCAACATTTTTATACCATACTATACTATGACGTATTTTGACATTTTTATGCCATACTATCCTATGACGTTTTCCAACATTTTTATACCATACTATACTATGACGTATTTTGACATTTTTATGCCATACTATCCTATGACGTTTTCCAACATTTTTATACCATACTATACTATGACGTATTTTGACATTTTTATGCCATACTATCCTATGACGTTTTCCAACATTTTTATACCATACTATACTATGACGTATTTTGACATTTTTATGCCATACTATCCTATGACGTTTTCCAACATTTTTATACCATACTATACTATGACGTATTTTGACATTTTTATGCCATACTATCCTATGACGTTTTCCAACATTTTTATACCATACTATACTATGACGTATTTTGACATTTTTATGCCATACTATCCTATGACGTTTTCCAACATTTTTATACCATACTATACTATGACGTATTTTGACATTTTTATGCCATACTATCCTATGACGTTTTCCAACATTTTTATACCATACTATACTATGACGTATTTTGACATTTTTATGCCATACTATCCTATGACGTTTTCCAACATTTTTATACCATACTATACTATGACGTATTTTGACATTTTTATGCCATACTATCCTATGACGTTTTCCAACATTTTTATACCATACTATACTATGACGTATTTTGACATTTTTATGCCATACTATCCTATGACGTTTTCCAACATTTTTATACCATACTATACTATGACGTTTTTTCACATTTTTATGCCTTATTATATTATGACATTTCTATGCCATACTATACTATGACGTTTATTGACATTTCTATGCCATACTATACGATGATGTTTTTTATACATTTTTATGCCTTATTATATTATGACATTTTTTCACATTTTTATACCATACTATACTATGACGTATTTTGACATTTTTATGCCATACTATACTATGATGTTTTTTCACATTTTTATGCCTGATTATATTATGACATTTCTATGCCATACTATACGATGATGTTTTTTATACATTTTTATGCCTTATTATATTATGACATTTCTATGCCATACTATACGATGATGTTTTTTATACATTTTTATGCCTTATTATATTATGACATTTCTATGCCATACTATACGATGATGTTTTTTATACATTTTTATGCCTTATTATATTATGACATTTCTATGCCATACTATACGATGATGTTTTTTATACATTTTTATGCCTTATTATATTATGACATTTCTATGCCATACTATACTATGACGTTTTTTGACATTTCTATGCCTTACTATACTATGGCGTTTTTCGACATTTTTATGGCATACTATACTATGATGTTTTTTGACATTTTTATGCCTTACTATACTATGACGTTTTTTGACATTTTTATGCCTTATTATATTATGACATTTCTATGCCATACTATACTATGATGTTTTTTGACATTTTTATGCCTTATTATATTATGACATTTCTATGCCATACTATACTATGACGTTTATTGACATTTCTATGCCATACTATACGATGATGTTTTTTATACATTTTTATGCCATACTATACTATGACATTTTTCGAGAGTTCTATGCCTCACTAAACTATGACGTTTTTTGACATTTCTATGCCTTACTATACTATGACATTTTTGACTATGACGTTTTTGACATTTTTATGCCTTAATATACTATGATGTTTTTTGACATTTTTATGCCATACTATACTATGACGTTTTTCGACCTTTTTATACCATACTATAATATGACGTTTTTTGACATTTCTATGCCTTACTATACTATGGCATCTATGACTATGACGTTTTTGACATTTTTATGCCTTACTATATTATGACATTTTTACACATTTTATGCCTTACTATACTATGATGTTTTTTTTTGACATTTTTATACCATACTTTACTAGGACATTTTTATGCCATACTAT